GGATGGATTTTAACATGAACCTCGTTCTTTTTCCTACTTCGAATTGGAAACCCAGCAGATGTCATTGTCGTCATCATCATGGCCCTTTTAGGGTTGCAGGTGAAATGAGGGGTACCGGGAGGCTGCATAGGCACAGCGGTATAGTATCCACAGTGGTGGCTTTCTGCAGTGACTAAAGAGAGGCTGCAAGGCTTATTTTAAATACTAGTACTGTATGCAGTGTCCTTAGATAAAATTGGCACATTTAGACATCGACTATGGGGCAGGTAGCCAAAGGTACAGATGGACGGAGAGACATGGAGGCGGAGAAAAAGACCGAGTTACAGACTGATAGGCACAGATAGAAAGAGACAGAACAGACAGACATGGAGACAGATTACAGACACACACAGACACTAAGAGATAGACCGACAAATAGATACAGGGACAGACGTACATAGAGACGAGAACAGAGAGGCTGATGGATTACCTCTGTACACTCGTACACGCTGAGTCATTAATGAATCCATCCTTCCGCCCTTCCGCCCGCTCACTCAGGAAGGATCTTTGGTACGTTCCCTGCAGGTTCGTTTGATAACGGCGATTCCACCAAAGATGGTAACGGCGGGAATAACGGCACCACCGATGATGGCGATGTTGTGGGGGCGTGCCGCTTGTGTCCAATCCAAAACGAGTCCAAACTCGCAAACGCTTCACCCGGAGGTTAAACAACAAGTAGCAAATTCTGCCTTGCAGAAGGCATGTTATACGTGTATACATACACGTAGCCAACTGTGATAATCAGAGGTGCGAGGGAATGACAACGAATTCAACTAAATTTCTATTTTATATTTGTGTGCCGCGACCTATTTGTGGGGATTTCTTTCGTGTTGTCCCCTCGGGTGCATGGGTTTCCTCTGGATGGACATTCCATTTACCACCCAACTCAAAACATTCAAAAAGCTCAATAAGGAATTGGCCAAACACCCCAAGCAAGAGCATCTTGATAAAGGATTTTGAGATGCAGTCGATTGCGTTTGTGGATAAGCAATGGTTAGTTAATGAATTAATAGAAGTATACATGAACAATTCAACTGTTGTCATTATGATCGGTTTATTGAAATGAACAATTCACACATCCTCATGGCGATACGGTGAATGATCGTGATTCGAGTTCGCGATTCATTTTAAGAATTGATTCTTTCATTGCAACGTCGCGGCCTCAACTCGCTGCAAGGGACGACGCCAGCCCATCGCTGACGGCGTGCGACTTGAGAACCATTCATTCCTTGACGCGCGATTCGTTGTGTGCGTCGTGAAAATGAAGGGTCAACATTTATCGACGGATCGATGCGATCGTTACGGCCCGATTCGTGATCGATGGATGCTTTTTTTAATTAAACGAATTTCGATGTCAGTATGCTCATTGTGGTGTTTAATTTTACGAATAAATAGTAAATGTATTTCTCCTCAAATGAGCATTGAGGCGGTGTTAATCTCCAGTTTACAGCCCTGAGCCAATGGTGGAAAGTCCTCATTCCTATGGCGGGGCTGAATTTATCTGTAAGACAGCCACTGTTAACAAACCAGCAAAGTGGTACCTATTTTATAAACTTCAAAATGATGATGGGCTGATTCACTCCCCCCCCCCCCACCAACCAGGATTTGAACTGTAAATTGTTCATATGCCACCTCGGTTCGATATTCTATCTCCACATTCAGGTCAAAATATTTTGTCTCTCTAAGCTCCGAAAAAAGATAAAGAGCCGAAATGTTTAGCATATGGAGGTGCACAGACGCACCGATTCATTGAAAAAATGCAGATTCATTATTATTCTCACGGCACACGCATCGAATCGATCGCTGTGTGTTTTTATTTATTTGCGTGTCATGTTCACTTGACTGGGTTCACATGAACCCTGCAACCGGTGGAGGCGGAACCATTCAGCGCAGTATAAATAAAAAGAACAATTCTCGAATCGAATCGCAGCCTCGAACCGCAAGGCAGTGTTTGGTTTAGCACTGACGACGGTGGTGAAGTATTTGTACATTTGACGCATGCTGCGTGACTTGCGTGCGGTATAATCTGAACACGTTTCTCTTTTTCAATCAACATTGTTTATTTTATATTTCCCCAATTTCTATTCAACCCGTGCTATCGGTGTCGCATTGGGATGGGATGCAGAATTTTCCATTAGGAGCTCTCGGAGAGCAGTGCACCCAACCCCGTGTAAGAGAACGGCGGCGCTCAGAAGCAGACATCACAGAACTACTGCCCGAGATCTCTTCAAACGACCTCTTTATTTTTGCCACACAAGCTGATGCCAAGACACGTTTGCCACATGACGTTCAAACCAATATTGTTTTTTTTATTCTCAGAGCTGGAATTTTAACCGAAGTAAGTGAAAATAAAAATGTAATGTGATCACTACTTTGTTAGACATCGGTGACCAGCCTGAGACCATCAGAATCAAAATATTTATACTAGAGGAATCCGATGAGCTATAAAGCTCTTTCACATTATTCGGGTTTTCAGTAAAGCCACGTAGATAGAAAAAAAATTAATAACAACAAAAACACTGATGTAGACTGTAGCCTGGTTCTTAATCGGAGTGAGTGGACTGGCAGTCTATAATGTAGACTGTAGCAATAGTTTTAACCTCGGTGAGTGTACTGGCAGTCTATAATGTAGACTGTAGCCTGGTTTTTAAGCTGGTGAGCGTATTGGCAGTCTACGATGTAGACTGTAGAAATGGTTATTAAACTAAGTGAGCGTACTGGCAGTCGAAAAATGCAGACTTATTCTTGGTCCTTTCAGTAATTTAAATCTAATTTTTAAAAATGTCCGGTTTAATCACGGGCGGCTGAACCGACGATTCGAGCCCTGATCTCGTCTGACCCCTGAGCCACGTGGCCATCTCCTAAGAACACATTTCCTGACATTTACTCAACCCACGCCTGCATATCCAGCCGTACCGGCACGAGCCCATTGCACAGCTCCATTGCCGCTAAACGGCCACGTGGCACAGGGACAGGTTGTGAGTTCGAAATCCCAGTGCTGGGTTCAGTATATAAATCAAGCGGACGATAAAATTCCCCGTGCCATAGTAATATGGAAATGTCCCACCACTGGCTCAGTTGTCACCAGTGGGGATGTCAATTTCCCACCCTCCCCCATGCTCGCTTGAGCAAGGGACACTTTGTGTTAAATAACGACCACATGGATTCCAAGTGGTGGCAGCTGCCACTGGTGGAGAGCGATATCTACACCGGCCTTGGCTCCGCGCAAAGCAGCGCGGTGAAGTATGGTCAAACAAGCCTCGCGAGACTCGGCATGGAGGTAGACCTTCATCCAGTAGTGAATTGACCACCGGCTGTAAATGATTAACCATGGCATAACCCCCCCCGCCGCCCTCCCCACCGAGTAGGGCCGAGACTCTCAATGTGAGTCGTGGCTATTAGAGTGAGAAAGTTGAACGTGTGTGTTTATTTTCTGCACGGATGATGGTCCCGTTTAGCGCCAGCTGCCCGGCTATTTTACGCGGGAGACCCACGGTGCTGAGTGAACGCAGCAGCAGCAGCAACAAAAATGTTACAAACGACAACGTCGACAATGCAGAGAACGAGTACACCAGGGTCCCGAAGGAATGGTGCACAACTCACAAACGAGGCATTTAACGGGCGTAAACGAATCACACACGTGGATAAAAAACAGTGCAAATATAATCTAACAAGTTAGGTACATGTGCACGTGAGCTTTATATATTAGCCTCACGGGGAAAGGCCAATTGCGTGAACATATTCCTGTTAGCGACAGCATAAAAAAAATCCCGTTTTATTCCCGCTTAACCCATTGTTTATTTTCACAAACGAGCCTGCTCACTGTGACCGCTCGATCCACGAGTCACCGTGCCCCTTCATCGATTTGAGGTGCAATGAGCGATTGCTTAACGAGTGATTGCTTCATGAGCGAGCGAGCGGGTCAAACAAATGCTCGTGTAATAAGGCAGCCCGCCGGGCTACATCGCTGCCGTGCCTGGGAATGATTCTGGCCTTGCGTCCTCCATTCGAGGACACTTGTCATGTGTTCACAGAAACTTCGACACTGATTTTTTTTACAAAACTCGCCGCACAGCTCGCCAATAGCAAAGCCCGGCTTTGCATAACATTTGGACAATATTGGCAACAAAATACTGCCAAAAAAGGGCTTCTGTTTACTTTTGTTTTCGATTATTTATATAACACAGTGCTGCCCGAGTGGCATTGCCATGTGAGAGTGTGGGCGTGCGCGCGCATCTCTATTCATATGCACAATTCTCGGTGCGGTCCAATCCCATAACAAATTGGAGGAGGCTCTGTTAACGGACTGACTCGCAAGCTTATTTTGTTTGCGTCCTATTGGTGTTTGCGTCCTATCAGTGATTGCCCTGTGTGTGGGACGAATGCTGATGCTGGCATGTCACGCGTTTTCCAGCAGAGGCCATTAAGATGTTTCAGCCGTAACTGCGAGGCCGTTTATCAAGCCTTATCAATCTCTCTGTTTTCTCTGTCTCCTCTCTCTCTCTCTCACTTGCTCATATCACTCTTTCATCTGTGCATTCTTGATATTTACACGTCATCATATTATTATATGATTACTGGTAACATTTCCTTTTCTCAAAATTCATCCCTGGACTATCCTGCCCTTTAAATATATTACTTTATTCTCACTCACAATCCACCTCTGTCTCCACGCCTGTCCGCCTCTCTCCTCTGCCCACATCTCTGCATTCTCTTTCTCTCTCCATCTCTTCCCACATTTCCCCTCCACCTCCCAGCTTCTGGGTCTCTCTCTGCACCTCTCCGCCTCTTTGTCTCACTATTCTCCCTCTCCTCCTCCTCTACTTCCTCCTCCTGCTCCTCTCCACATTTCTCCCTTTCCTCCTCCCTCTCCATTTCCATCTCTCTCTCTCTCTGTGTCCCGTCTCTGTCCCTCTGCCCGTCTCTCTCCTCCGTGTGCCCCGTGTCTCCCCGCCAGCCAGAAGCTTTCCCTCCGCGAGCGACTGTCCAGCCCGGTCACGCAGCTCATGAGGAGTCGACCTAACGCCGGGCCCAGCGGCGGCTGCTCCGGCTCCCTCACGCAGCCCGGCGGCGGCGGCGGCGGCACGACCTGGTTCCCCCGGCGGGCACGGCCCCGACAGCAACGGGCCCGGCACGGCGGCGGGGGCCGTGACGGTGGACGCCGTGCGCTCCGGGTACAGCTCCCCCGCGGGGCCCGGCAGCGACGCCCCCTCGCCCGCCGCCCGCGTGCCCAAGTCGCGCTCGTTCAGCGAGCGGGCGCGCCTGCGCACGTCGCTGCGCAGCGTCCTGCACCACCGCGTCGGCACCGGTGAGCGCGACGGCGATCGGCGCGCGCGCACCGGTCGCGTCGGTGAGCGTCGTCGTTCTGAAGAAGCTCTGATGTGGTTCCGTGGCACCCTCCACCGGCTATTCTCTGATGCAAGACACAAGGTGGTGCACCGCTTACTGTCAGAGTTCTCGTTGGTAATATTTTTATCTCAGAACGTGGCACCGATAGCGAGGCGGCTATTTAATTTGAAACAAAGGGGAGAACAAATCATTGCATAATGGAGTTTTTTTTGTGGTTAGATGGCGTAAATATATAAATGTGTCGTTCAAACCCGCCACCACCCGACACAGCCAACTAGTGAGGGTTGTCATGTAAACAGAACGTGCCAATTCGTCACTAGTACAGCACACCAGTGTGTTGGAGAGCCAAGCCACAACATTTACAATCTGAGTACGACGTTTCGCCAGTAATTACAACTAGCTTCATCAGGCGACAGCCAGATTTGTGGAGAAGTCTTTCTGTTTCGTTCCTTATATAGAGGCGTAGATGTGGTGACCACACTTCTGCGCTCTTGCGAAAAGTGCAGGGGCGGGGGGGGATCAAATGAGTCAACGCACATTATGTATGTGCATTATGCAAATCCTTTGATCTTGTCCTTCCTGTCCATTGTGTGTATTAAAATAGCCGTACCAACGGTAATCCCTATTGCACCGAGATCTATGGGAGCGGTCAATCGGTGACATTGCTAGAGGGCTGCAGTGGCAAGGTTCACCTTAATTCTGAAAGTTTATTGCCACTATTTTGTACGTACCCAGTGTCCTGATCCAGTGGTGGTAGAAATTCTCCATTTCCATGGCGGAAGCAAGTCTATCCATGGGACAGTCGCTGTTGACTGCCGCAAAACGGTGCTCATGCTTTCGGCCCCTGTGGGATGACGGACTGAGTCAACACCTCTCCCACTTCAGTAATACATTTTCTTGCTGTGGTTGTCACACCTGATGACGATTGCTTGTGTTGCAATGGAAACTTCGTGATTTAATTTAGTTGTTTTAATTTATTTTATTTTTTACCTACTTGACTTTACCGAAAAAACCAAAGAGTACGAGTTAACACCCCCAACGAGGAGTTGAACTCGCAGCCTCTCCGATTGTGAGCCGCCCGATCTCCCTCCGAGTCTCCCGGCCGCCTTCGCACTGCCGTGGCTTCATCGAGAGGCGTTTGTTTGTGGTTGCGATTTTTGATGCGAGAAGCAGCATTTTTACGATGACTAATGTACTCAATATGTCCGAAACAATGTTTACCCTTCCCATAATGCAAGGTGATTTTTTTGCAAAGACAGTAGGCATGAACTGACCTGGAGAGCAAGCAATGCTCGGCAAAGATTGATTCTAAATACCTTTGCTGTACCACCATCTCTTGGCCACCTCATAGCTTGTGTGAGCGTACCATTGTGTGTGTGTCTGTGTGTCTGTGCGTTCCGGCCTTCATAGGTGCTCGCTAAAAGCACTCGCCCCAATAGTCTGTTAATGCTATTTGGGGGATCTTTGTCTTTGTGCGTGTATGCTTGTGCATCTATATGTATGTGTCTTCATGTGTGTGTGTGTTCATGTCATTGTGTGTGTGTGTGGAGCAATGGTGAAGTTGTTAGCGCACTGCACTATGAACCCAACCACCCGAGTTCTATTCCCGCTCACAGCCAACATCGGTGATCCATATCTGATCAGGTCCTCGGCCTCCTCTAGGTCGACTCGGCCATTAAACGAGTATGCATCAGTACTGGGGAGACAAAGGCGTCCGGGCGTGGTGCTGGTGACCCACTCCCCTTGTGTGCCGTGTTGGCCTTCATTGCTGCCTGCAAACAGCATTTGTCTTCTTGGTTCTTTCGGTAAAGTCACGTAGAATGGAAATAATAAAATAATAAAAATACAATTTTATAAAATTATTTTCACGACGTTTCGGCCACAACGCAAGCAGCCGTCCTCAGGTGAAGAACAGGTCTGTCGGAAAGACAGCGTCTGAATTTCAGGACGGCTGCTTGCGTTGTGGCCAAAACGTCGTGAGAATTATTTTATTATGTTTTATTTTTATTATTTTATTATTTCCATTTTACGTGACTTTACCGAAAGAACCAAGAAGATGAATCCCTGCAGTCACGAAAGCTTTAAATCGAAATATAAACAGCACTTGCTTCAACATTCTGTTAGAGGCTATACGGGGGATCTTTGAGTGAAACGAAGATCCCTTTAACTGAGACACCTGCTCCTGCTTGAAACATTTTGGCCGGCCTGCCTGCAATTAATGCTATATTTAATCTGGCTGGATTGTGTGAGGAGCTCACAGATCCTTCAAAGATCTAGATCAAGTACCATCAGTGAGCTCCTCTGACAGGCGAGGTTGCATGTAGCCCGCATGCCCCAGCCACAGCATGCCCAGGCAGCTACATAGATAAGAGGGGGCTAAATGAGCATGGCATATGTGAGAGAAGAGATGGGTGGATGTGGTAAAGGAGGACCCCGGGGGTGTGTGGACTTGTCAACAATCGGTATCCGCAGTATTTTGATCGGTGTGTGTGGAGGAGGCTTGTGAAGGACGCGACTGGGAAATTCGAGGCAGGCGCCCTCCAGCAAACACGTGAAGGAGCAACGATCAGAACAACGAGCAAAGCGCCGAGCGGCTAAAACGCAGCAAATTGGCGAAGTGGCGAGTGCAGGTGGTGCATCTGCCATTTGTCACAGGCCACCCGTAACACCTGGGTCTGTCCTGCGACTTCTTCCAGCGAGCTTGTTAACACTTCATGCGGCCGTAAGGTGCACCTAGCCTGGAACAAATTCTCTGAAAAACGTGATCACCATTCAGTGCCACTGTTGTTGTTTAGTGTACGTGTGTATCTGCACGTGTACGTGTGTATCTGCACGTGTGTCTCTGTGTGGGGAGCAATCGCGTCGTGGTTGTCACACTGGGCTACGAATTCGGCGACCCGAGTTCAATTCCCGCTCGTGGCCAACACCAGTGACAATTATCTGAACTGGGCCTCCCCACGTACACTAAACAAAATGACCACCTGGTGCGGTGTGTAAACATCGCCACTGGAGAGACAAAGGCGGCCGGGCGTGGTGCTGGCCACCCACACCTTCGAGTGCCGTGCCGGCCTTCATAGGTGCTCACTAGCAGCACTTGCCCCAAAAGTCTGTTAAGGCTAAACGGGGATCTTTGTCTTTGTGTGTCCTTGCGTATGTGTATACGTGAGTGTGTAGAGGGCTACATTTCAGGGGTATATGACCCTGTCAGTGACCCAGAATATATTTCTGCACTCGGCACACCACATCCAGTGTGCCTCTTGCTTACGACTCTGGCCACTCGGCACGTGGCCCGCTCCAATCTACTCTCGGCCCCAAAAATATTCAGTCACGAACGGATCGTTGGGTATGGGTTTGCGTGAATCAGTGTGTCCGCGCGCGTATATGTGCGTGTGCGTGCATGAGTAAGTGCTGTGTGTGTCTGACTACTTGTTTGTGGGGCACTTGTTATCATCTCCGTCACCACGACCCATGGGCAGATAGTCCGTTGGTGTCCACTGCACATTTCGTCATTTGTTTCCACTTTCCTCTGTGTCTTGTGCCAGCATGCTCAAGCCGTGCCGCATCTTTCTGGCACCAATCTATTTGTGTTGTCGTCAAGACATTCTCTGTTAGGTCTTTCTCTCTTGCCGGTTCCTTCCATTTTCCCAAACAACACCCTTTAAATGTTTCTGTTGTCGTCCATCCTACATGTGTGTCCACATAGTGTCCGTTTCCTTCTCATCACTGCCTGCATCGGGTCTTCTTCTATGTGCAACCTTTTTTGCGGTATAAATACACAAGGGGGTCACTTATGACCGTATAAATATTTGTAAGGACGTGTGTGTGTGTATGCTTGCGCATATTTTCTCTCCCCCAGTTCAATTAACAGCCGCCCTCTATTTTAATCAAAGCGACATCCGACACTGAGCGTCGCCGCCGCGCCTTTTTGCCGCCGTGAGCCGGGGCAGCCTCGCTTGAGCGGTGGCTTAGCGTCGTGCGCGACATTCAACACCGGCTGGCGCCAGCCTCGACAACGCTCCGGCCTCAAATAAATCGAGAAAAGTCCATCTCTCTGCGTAAATGTATATGTCGCCTCGTCATCGTCACCATCGGCGGCCATGGTCAATCCACTGCTAAAAGAAGGCCTCGCCAAGCCGTCGCTGTCCTTCCACCGCACCTCCGGTTACCGCGGTTGGCTACATGCTGTGCAAAAGAAGTTCAAAATACTTACATACGTACATGTTGGTGATGATGGTCGACCGCGTGTGGTGATGATGGAAGCTTGGGCCAGCCCTGTATCATCTGAAGGGGGGGGAGGGCTAGAGAGGGCTGAGTTTGCCCCATGCCACTCACGATCCTGCGATGCATCATAATAACAATCAACCTGGCACCTGCACCTGCAATTATTCCATTGCTCCATCTCCCCGGTAGTCATCTTCATGGATTCGCTGCTTTTCCTGTGCCGCCACTCCATCATTATTCTTGCCCCTTTCAGCCGTGATGCGTCCTGCCCAAGCCTTTTCTTCATAGCTTGCGCGATGTCATTAACCTCCGTACGCTCTCTCTGATCCACGTGCTCCTCTTTCTCTCTCCAAAGGTAATTCCAGGCATGCACCTCCTCCTTTGCGCACTCTTCAGTCATTTCGTTCGGTGCTTTTCGTTTGTGACTGAGATCCTCCATGGACTTGCCACAGCCGACCCATCCCGTCTCGTCGCGCTGCGCTCCCCATCACGTGCTCTTCGCTCCAGCGACCAAGGGCCCAGTCCCATCCACCGCGCCGCGTCCCCTCGGTCACGTTGGAAGTGAGCTGGCCCCGTTTGTGAACCCGGAGGGCCTGGCATGGATTCCCATGGCAGCCTTGCTGGGTGAGCGAGTCGTCGGCTCGCTCGCCCGCTCGTTTGTCCGCTCGCCCATTCATCCACCTGCTCGCCCGCCCACTTGACCACTCGCTCGCCTGCCCACTCGTCCACTTGCTCGCCCACCCGCTCGCTCGTCCACCTACTTGCTCGCCCGCCCGCCCGCTCGCTTTCACAAGCGCCCCAAACGCAGCGGTGCCATCCCCCCGGCAACTGTCGTGGCCTCACGGGGTCAATCCGAAAGCGACGAGGTCAATGGTGTGCCATGCTTAGGTCCACTTCAAACGTCTAAGAAGCTTGACAAAAGAGATCATCGGTTGGGGATGGCTTCACCTAACCCTAGTGGATGCAAACCTCGTAAAAACGTTTATTTTTGCGATCACCTCTCTCCGGCGGTGGAGCCGTGTTGCTCGTGAAGATTCGGGATGTGAAATGAGCTGGCTCTGATTTCTAATGTGTGTGGAAACCTGGCCTCAGTGAACCTCCGGTCAGGACGAGGTCGCTCCTTCTCCTCGGCTTACCTACTCAATCTGGAGCTTCATCTCCCCAGCTCTCCGTGCTGTTTACGCCTTCTGCCCCTGTTCACATTCAGATTTAAGACCTCCCTGTTCTCCTCTGCCTGTCAATGACCGCCTCTTCACCGTGGGGAGTCTTGCCAGTGACTCCGATCCTTGCGGCTCGGACCGCGAGGTCACTGGAGCGAGGGGCTGGGTGTGTCCGAAGCGACGGACGCTGGTTGTGAAGGCTCGTGATGAGAGGGCAGGCCGCGACAACGCCACCATCATCCACCCCCAGTTCCCTCAATCGCTTCTTGCCATTAACACTTGTCCATCGTCAGCCATGATCAATCCACTGCTGCAACCATTGATTTTATATATATATATAAAGACGTTCATTGAGAGGAATGCACAATCCCGCTGTTGTGTATAGCCTCTTCACATGCAGTGGCAACAACGCGAGTACAACTGCGTCGCGTTGCCTGCAAATTGCCCACCAATTACTCGATTGTGAATGCACACAGCACTCACTGCCCTCCACTGCTGGCAGACCCAATGCTTGCCCACAGGCCACGTGCCGAGTCACCCTGCGTCACACGGGGACAGCTGCCACTCGGGGTGCCCCTCTCAAATGCGTTTTGCGATGAGCTGCCGTGTAAGTCGCTCGCTTCGCGCCCGCGTAGCAGCTTCGGCGTGAAGGAGGGTGGCATCCGTGAGACGCACAAATCGTCCATCGTGGTCATCGTCTTGTGTCGATCGCGCAGAGCGTGGTCTCCGTATCTGGTGTCCTGGCATCGCTCGGCCCACATCGCTCACTCGATCCCCTTTCATCCCCCGAAATCTGCCCGGGGCGTCTTGGAAGGGATGTGAGCTCGGGGTCTGTATAAATAGGTCGGGTGTGAGAAGAAAAAGAAGAGCGAAACTGAGAAATGAGTTTGCCGACTTTATTTTCAGACTTGAAGGGGTCATGTTTCCGATCTGACTTAGAGGCACGTTCGAAAGTTGTGAGTGTGTGTGTGACATGCGTACACACACACACTCGCAAACACATGGATGCTCGCAAATATATGCACACGTGTACATACACGCAAAAAACGCGAAAAAAACTACTGCTATATCCCGCTAAGTGGTAGTGATGTCACCGTGGCGCTTGTGCCAGGCTAGGTGCACTTTGAGGCAGCTTGAGATGTCGAAGGCTCTCTGGCAGGAGGTTACGCGACATACCCAGCTGATCAGGATTGACTGACTGAAATGACTGACTGGCAGATGTCCCACCTGTGCTTCCCACTGTGTCGACTCGCTGCGTTTTAGCCGCCGGTCGCTCTGTCCTTTGTTGTGAGCGTCGCTCCGCCGCCTTTGTTGCTGGAGGGCGACTGCCACGACCTTCCCAGTGACGTTCATTACGAGCCTTCTCCATAGACACTGCAGGTAACAGTCGTCAGCAAGGCCACTCAGCTACATGTATTTTGGTACCACATCTAATGCATGCACACTCGCACTCACAGATACATGCCTGTACATGTACACACACACACGCATTCGCGTTACATGTGTACGGACATGCATATATGCGCAAACTAGCGCAATCATGCAAAATATTTACACACGTGCAGACACATGCACGGGCACACAAATGCACACACTGGCACACATACATTGCACACGTGCACGGAAGATTTGTATGCATACATCATTCGCTGGGGTTGATGGAATATGTTCCACTTTGTACAAAGTCAACACTGGCCTAACTATAGAGAAACTCGCCATAGGAATGTGCAATTTCAACGAATTGCTGAGATACGCAGGTGGCGTATCTCAGCACCCCTACGTGCATGTGTGTGTGTACCCCCTCGTGTGTCTGTGTGTGTGTGTGTGTACCCCCTCGTGTGTCTCTGTGCATGTGTGCGTGTGTGTACCCTCTCGTGTGTCTGTGTGTGTGTGTACCCCCTCGTGTGTCTGTGTGTGTGTGTGTGTACCCCCTCGTGTGTCTGTGTGTGTGTGTGTGTACCCCCTCGTGTGTCTCTGTGTGTGTGTACCCCCTCGTGTGTCTGTGTGTGTGTGTACCCCCTCGTGTGTCTGTGTGTGTGTGTACCCCCTCGTGTGTCTGTGTGTGTGTGTGTACCCCCTCGTGTCTCTGTGCGTGTGTGTGTGTACGCGAGTGTGTAGAGGGCTAACTTTCAGCCGTATTTGACCCTGTCGGTGACCCAGGATATATTTCTGCACTCGGCACACCACATCCAGTGTACCTCTTGCTTACGACTCTGGCCACTCGGCACGTGGCCCGCTCCAATCTACCTGCGGCCCCGAAAATATTCAGTCACGAACGGGTCGTTGGGTATGGGTTTGCGTGAATAAATGTGTATGTGCGCGTATACGTGCGTGAGCTCGTGCGTGCATGAGTGAGTGCCACGGCTAACGTCAGTGGCACTTTCTCACTGACCAGCACTGACCCGGGTGAGTGAAGTATGCCCGGCGTGCGAACCAACGTGTGCTGCGTGTTGTGCACAGAGGGTGCGCTCGCCGACGACATGTTTAGCGAGGTGGGGCTGCCGGGAGACGTCACCCGGGAGAACTTTGAGCCCGTCGTCAAGAACGGCATCCGAGCCATCAGGTAGGAAAAGACAAGCACCGTGCCCGCCGCGGTGGCGGCAGAGTCACGACCCCAGCGGTGACGGTGACCTTCGAGTAAAGACGGTGGTCACCGCATCACGCGGCGCTTTCGGGTGCGCTTCTGCGGCCGTCTGGAACGGTCTTCCTTCCGATATTAGGAAGCCACTGGAGCCGTGCGCTTTTAAATCTAAATTGAAAACTCATTAATTTTTTCTAGATTTGAAGCTTTCGTGACTGCAAGGATTCATCCTCTTAGTTCTTTCGGTAAAGTCACGTAGGTAAAAAATGAAATTAAAATTAATAAAAAAATAAAAACAATAAAATCACGACGTTTCGGAGGCAACACAAGCTTTTCGTGTTTAGTTTGTTGTTTTTCCCCCGCACCTCCGTTTAGCCACGGTTGGCTACGAATGGCGCAAAAGAAGTACACGTTGCTGATGTTATTCGACCACGTGTGATGATGACGGCAGCTTTGGCCAGCCCTGTATCATCTGGGGGTGGGGTGGGGGTGCTGGAGAGGGCTGAGTTCGCTTTCGCCACTCAGGATCCTGTGGTGCATTATAATGATCCACCTGGCACCCGAACGCATTCTATCGCTCCACCTCACCGGTCGACACGATCACGGCCTCGCTGCTTTTCCTGCACCCCCATTATTCTTGGCCCCTCCAGCCATGATGCGTCCTGCCCAAAAATGTACGTAGAAAGGCGGACACGTGACAGGAACGTAATTATTTTTTGTTTGTGCCGCTGCAGAAGCACCCATGGCACGTGCTTGCATCGTTGTAGTGGCCAGCTTCGTAGAAGTTATCTGATGGGAGCATGCGCCTAAGACCAATATTTCTTTACGTCTCTTTATATCCAGCGCTCGCACGACGTGCGGTGCCTTGGGCTCTGCCGGGCACCGTGAATTTCGCCGATTCCTTGTTTCTCGTGGTTCTCCTCGTCGGCATCGCCCTCAGGAAGAGCTTTCAGTTTCATTTATTGGGTATAGCCCTGTGAGCCATTCGGCCCTTGAATCGAGTGCAACCGCAACAAAAAAAAACATGAGCAAGAAAACATCTTAAAGTGACTACATGCAAACAGAAAAATCCAGAAAAAGACTGCTAAATATTGCAGAAAAAGCACTGTACACCAACGCTGTGTGCAAAAATCCTAGTGGATGCAAGTCAAACAACAAAAACAACCACAAAACAACTTAGATTAAGGCCATCAGTCTTACTCCGTACTACAACAAACAAACATGGCCAAACCAAAAAACGTTTTCGAAATCACCAAAATAAAGCCATAAAAGCTATGTAACAGTGATCATAGGAACTGTGACCGAAATTTCACAATAAACGACATAAACAACATGTACCACCAAACCCCTCTGGAAGAGGTTTCCCTTCGCACAGTCGGTGGAGGAACGAACATTGTGGAGGCCGTCTGGGGCGCCGCGGTGGCGAGATGTTAACTCCCTCGCCCGGTATGCAGGAGGTCGTGGGTTCAATTCTGACACCTGTATATTTGGAGTTTGCGTGTCTCTCCCCCCTTGGTCGGATGGATTTTTCCCTATCACTTGTAACAGCCACGTCGCTTCTGAAAAGAGCTCTTTCTAGCTCAGTGGGCATTACTTGGTAAAATAAAAATAGTTTAGTTTAGATTGTGAGATTGCGATTGAATCCGTTGTGGGTGAGGTGCGACGCCGCCTCTCACAATGTTCAACACGGCGTGTACCACAGACACGAGCACGTCTCCCTGGCCGTCTTGGCATCTTGGCAAGGATCCGTCGTGTGCTAGACGGGTTTATATTTACTCTTGGCCGCGCCGCTGCGAGTTTGTTTTCTCGGCGGCAAACCGATCGAGCGGTAAAAATGAAACGGAAATTCATCGCCGCTTCGAGCTTGGAGTTCTTTCCTTGAGGGGAGGAATGTACGACTCGTGTAGGAAGTGCGGAACTGTGGCATCGGTTCCCTTTGCGAGGTTGCAGTGACGGTGCCGAATGTCAGATATCACCGAAGTGTGGCCTTGATTAACTCCTTACTGAAGCTCCATTTCGAAGACAAACTCCTCTCGCTCTCGTCGAGGAGTGTCACCCGTCACGGCACTCCGGTCATCCTCGCAACGGATTTTGGCTGGCCATCGAAAAAAGACGGCCACCGTATCGCGCGCTTTCGGATGCGCTTCTGTGGCCGTCTGGAACGCTCTTCCGATATTCGGAAGCCACTGAAGCTGTGAACTTTTAAATCGAGATTGAAAACTAATTTCTTCAGAGCTGCTTTTTGTGTTTAGTTTGTTGTCCTTCCCCCGCACCTCCGATTAGCACGGTTGGCCTACGTACAGTGCAAAGAAGTTCAACATACATACATACTTGCCTTAGGCGGCCACTAGGTTGTTTCATCCAACCAAATAAACATTCAGCTTGTGGTCAATTACATCTGCCTTCATTATCTAATAAAAACTACTTTAGTAGGTTTCGTAGTTTAGCCGTGTATAGAGCGCAAGGCCGTAACGTAGTCTCGGTGTTTCACTGCCACTTGCTGCTATGAGTTTGGCGATCGGGTGCGATGCTGGCAATGTTTAATCTCAATCGAGTCATTTGCGATATAATCTTTTGAAATTTGGCAAATGTAAGGTCTTGACACCGGCAAGCAAACGCCCCACTCTTTTCAAATGATGTCACTGGATCCTGGATGTCCACTGTGATGCAGACCGGGCGCGTGTTTTATGTTTTAACACACCCTGCGGTATTAACCAGGGCTACCTGCCAAAGTCGAACCACAAACCTCTGCAACCCCAAACAAACTCTACGACGCTCGAGCTTGTTTGGGGTAACCTTGAAGAAACGTCTGGTGGCATGGCAGCTCCAGTCTGGAAGTTTCACGAAGCGTGCCATCTTCTATTAGACTGGGCTCTTGTATTAGAGGCACTGTCATATTATATTAGAGATACTGGGGTCTCCACTGAGATCGACCTCAATTGCTCTTTCTTTCTGTTACCTCTGGGTGTATCCTTTGTCAGTGTATCGTACGTAGCGGTTGCTGTGCCGCATCACCGGCATTGTCTTCTTCGGAAGGAAAATTTTACTCAATTCTGGCAGTGGCCTCCCTGTATTTGACGGCCGTCGGTTTCTTGCTCATGGCTGTCTCCTCCCTCGTTCTTTGCGATCCATGTTTGCCTACTTTGTGATATACCCTTCGTGAACATCTTCTTCACACGAATCTCGACAAACAACGTGGAGACTGTTTGGCACCTGCGCGGATCTGGCGTCATGCTAAAAACCGGCATTCAAGGACCGTGTTTGCAGAGCGGTATTCTGAATCTGAAGCAAAATGCAGAGTTGCGGTGTAGGCACAGATTTTCCGATCTTCATCAATCATCGCAACTTGACAAAACGAGATGTGGATGGGACACATTTCTAACAATTGCAAGTGACGGCAGAACCAGTCCTGACTCCCGTTGGGAGATATGCCGATGATACCAGCCCCTGCCTGCAAGCTCGACACCCTCAGAGCTTGTTGGTTCTTTCGGTAAAGTCACGTAGAATGGAAGTAATAAAATAATACAAATAAAACATAACATAATTCTCACGACGTTTCGGCCACAATGCAAGCGAGTGACAATCTCGGCTGCTTGCGTTGTGGCCAAAACGTCGTGAGAATTATTTTATAATGTTTTATTTTTATTATTTTATTACTTCCCTTCTACGTGACTTTATCGAAAGAACCAAGAAGATGAATCCCTGCAGTCACGAAAACCCTCAGAGCTGTTGTACGGAGACGCAAGCACGTGTCATCGGTGCTTGGGCAGCAGCAGCAGCCTGTGGTTGTCACTGTCGATGAAGTCCCTCTCCTGTCAACCGATGGAACTAAAATGGGCCATGCCAGTGTACAGAGAGAGGATTAATTCACGATTTGGGAGGCCTCAATCTCTCACGAGACCGGTGCACGCTGGCTTCCGGCGCAGCAGATGCCTGCGTTGAAAGTCGAGTTCTTGGGCCAAACGCAGCAGAACCAAGTTTGCGAACGGAAATGTCACACGTGCCAGGGCGACGAGGGGGCTCACAAGCTGCCATTTTGCGTGTCGCAGTGGCCGCTTACCCTGGACGGTCCGCAGCCTTCATAAAGCAGCGCACGGTCAACGTCCCACAAGGGACACTCTGCGATCACCTGGCGAGACGGAGTCAGAGTTAGGGAACGAAAGGGGACGGTTATTTGCAACTTCATGTGCACAGTTTGGAATATAAGAGCCCGGCGACAAGGACGCCGGGCCCTTGAAACGAAAATAAAAGGCGTTTAACGTCTCTCCCCCAACGTCTTGGATTTTGTCATTCAAAACCGCAGCCTCTCCACGTAACAGCAAGCCCTCCAGTTTGACACGTGGCAGGCTTTTGCCGACCAATATCATCCATAATAGTTTTTTTTGGGTTAGATCGCGTAAATATATAAATGTGTCGTTAAACCCGCCAACACCCGACAGCCAATTCGGGTTGTCACGTAAACAGAACGTGCCAATTCGTCACTAGTCAGCACAATGGTGTGTTGGAGAGCCAAGCCACAACATTTACAATCTGAGTACGACGTTTTGCCAGTAAATATAACTAGCTTCATCAGGCGACAGCCAGATTTGTGAAGTGCACCTGTTTAGTTACTTATATAGAGGCATAGATGTGATGGCAACACTTATTGTGCAGAGTGAGGGGGGGGGGTGGTTAATGAATCAACGTACATTATGCATGCGCATTATGCAAGCACATTGATCTTGTACTTCCTGTCCATTTTTTGTACTAAAATAGCCGTAACAACGGTAATCCCTATTGAAGTATGGTGGCCTGTATAGGCATGCATTTAAACAATGTATTATTTGATGATTCCCCTCCAAGCAGCACTAAGTCGGTAGCTATCCGAACGGTTACAATTATTTTGAGTTCTCTGAATTTCGATAGATTCTCTTAATTAGTCTTGGCCAGTAGTAGCCTGTGTGACGACACGTATATATTTACGCGATCTAACCCCCAAGCAAGCCCTCCCTATTATAATCTCGCACTTGTCACGGCAGCACCGTCACCGAGATTGTCACTCGTGAATCGTTTCCCATCTCTCCCGAGACTTTCGCCCTCCGAGCTTGTGTGTCGGCTTTCCTCCCTGCGGGTACAGTAATACAATTAATTACAAAATGTTTTAGTTAGATTGCATAAATGTCTAATAAACCTAACCTCCACCCGACCAAAGCCAATTACTAAGGTCTGTCACGTGAACCAAACGTGGCAATTACTTGAGCACACTGGTTGTGTGTTGGAGAGAAAACTCACAACATTTACCATTGGCTTGCTCTCCCAACAAACCGGTGCGCTGTAGTGATCGTTGTTGTTGTTGTTGCTGCTGCTGCCGCTCAGGGTGATGAAGTTCCTCGTCGCGAAGAAGAAATTCAAGGAGACGTTGAGGCCGTATGACGTGAAGGACGTCATCGAGCAGTACTCGGCAGGGCACCTCGACATGCTGGGCAGAGTCAAGAGCCTGCAGGCCCGGTGAGACCACCACCGTAACAACTACAAGAACCACCACCACCACAACCACTACAGCAGCCACGACCACCTCAACAACAACTAACCACAATATTCTTGGTTCTTTCGGTAAAGTCACGTAGAAGGGAAATAAAAAAAATATATTTTTAAATATTTTTTTATGTATTATCTTTTTTATAAAATAAAATAGTAAAAATATTATATAATTTTTTATATCATATTTTTATTTTATTATTTCCCTTCTACGTGACTTTACCGAAAGAACCAAGAATACAAATCCCTGCAGTCACGAAAGCTTTAAATCGAAATTTAACTAACCACAATAACAACTACAACAACCACGACTACAACAACTATAACAACCACAACCACCACCACCACATCAAGAACCACATCCACCACAACAACCACTACAACAACAACTAAAATAACCACAACTAGAACAACCACCACAGCAATCCGCCGCAGCGACAGAGTCTCCATTGGAAAATCTCGCAGAGCTGTGCAACCGTTCACGTTCACGAACGTCTCATGGAAGTGGATATAACAGAGCTACCTCTGAGATCCCTTCTACTTCAGGTGACATCTGATCCACAGACAGCAGAGGGCAGCACCTACCACTCACTCTGCCATATGCGGTTGTAACAGTCATATCGGTATTTTAATTCTCACAACTGGAATGTAACGCAGAACACAATTTGAACAAACAGAACCAAACTCACCGCACTTGACCTCTTCTGAGCCACCTGACCTTCACGGCCGGTTCGAGCTTCAACAGAGCCCTGTGTCTGTGGCAGAGAATGAGAAGGAGAAGCGACGTCTGTATGTATGTTGAACTTCTTTCGCACCGTACGTAGCCAACCGTGGCTATTCGGAGGTGCGATGGAAGGACAACAAAGCAAACACGAAAAAGCATTTCTAAAGAAATTTGTTTTCAACCTAGATGATTTAAGGGTGCATAGCTCCTATGGGTTCCTAATATCGTAAGGAAGAGCGTTCCAGACGACGATTCGAACGAGCGCGTCCGCGCGTGCAGGGTCGACCAGATCCTGGGCGTGAGGACCCACTCGGGGCCTGTGGAGCGGAGGGGCCGCGACCGCGGGGCGGGCCCCGAGGCGGATGTGCCGTGTGACGAGCTCAGCCTGCTGGGCCGCGTGGCGCGCGTCGAGAAGCACGTGCGTGTACACGCCCCGCCCCCCCCCCCGACGCATCGCAGCCGCCGCCACAATCGGCGGCGCGTGCGTGCAGTTGCCGCAGACACGCCGCCCCTCTTTATCTGCCATTCCTCTCGGGTGGAGCAAATGCCGCCGCGGTAAATTCGTTTTCCGCTCGCGTTGGGTTTTTGAAGAACATTTTTTTAAAAGGGATTTTTAAGAACATTCTGGATAATATGCATCGTGTTGTGTTGAATCTATTGATTCAATAATATACAGTGTTGTTATTAAACCTAGCAGTGATATATGAATTGCAGCACAGTCGAATGGGAATTCGTGCGTGGTGGGGTAAAGTGTGGGTACATCTGGCCAGAGTGGGAGAGTAAATCTAATTATCTCTTGAGTTCCCACTAAAGGAGGCCCTTCCTACAGCAGTGGCTTGAGCAACTGCAGGGGTGCGCCTTCATCTTCAACTTCTTATCTGCATATGTGCAGACGTTTGATCAATTCAGCTCACATTTGATTTGCTCTTGTGGTCTCGGGTAGGGATAGTGCTTAGTTCGCTAGTGCGGTGCCTATCTGACCAGCTGCTTAGTTCCATTCCCCATCCCCGCAGACACGTTTGACTTTTCACTTGCACGTCGGTTTTTCCTGGTCACGGCGTCTCCCATCCTCGCCACGCCACAGGTCCAGGCGATCGAGCAGAAGCTGGACATTCTGGTCGACCTCCACCGCCGCATCCTTGCCGTGCCTCCGGCCGACGACCCCCAGGCGCTGCCGTGGCCCCCTCCTCCCCCGCCGCCCCCTCCCGCCCGGGCGCCGACCGAGCCGCGGGCGCTGGCCTACGACCTCGAAACGACCGCTCCGATTGCGGCTCCGACCGTCGTCGCCGCCGCCGCCGACAACGACCACGGTTACTTCTCGGCGCCCAAACCCACGTCGACGTTCGTGCGTCTCGCCGACCGCGGGGAGCCTCCGCCGCCGCCGCTGCCGCTGCCTTCACCACCGCCCCACGGCAAGCAGCGGTCGCGGTTCGGCGCCAGGCGGGCGCACCCGGCGAGCGAGCCGTCGTCGCGCGTCGACCCGGCGCCGCCGCTGCCGCCGCCGTACTCGTCTTTCGCGGCCGGGGCCTCGCCGTGCGGCCGCGCCGGGGGCCGCAGGTCGACGGCCGAGGGCCGGCGGGGCCGGGCGCACAGCCTCGACTGCCTCGAGCGGGAGAACGGCGTCGGGGTTCCGTCGACGGCGGCGCCGGCGTCGGCAGTCTCGCCGGCGGTGGCGGCGGGCGAGGGCTGGGCGCGTCTGGCGGCGCAGGAGAGCCTGGGCAGCGACGACGCGTCGCTCAGTTGGCAGGACGTGGTGCTCTTCATCAGCGACGAGGACGCGCAGCACGCGGACGCGGCCAGCGAATGCGACGCCGACGACGCGGTGGCGGCGGCGGCGGCGGCGGCCGAGAGGCGCTCGGGGCTCGCGTGACACGGCCTCCCCCGGGGGCAAAGGTTAACGGTGGCAGCAGGGTGAGGTGGAGGGTGAATCGCAGCGCGGGTTGCGGGCGGCTTCTGCCCTGAAGGTGGGCCCTCTGCTGGCGGGGTCGTGGAAACGCCGACCAGAGCTCCGGTCTCGCGTGAAATTCCCCAACTCCACCCATCCAAGTCCTCGCAACCCACTGCGGCGCCACTTCTCCACGTTTGAACACTTCCTCGCTCCCCCGCGCGCATCACCCGATGATTGCTAAACAAATCCCACGTGACATAGGACACGCGTGGTGACACGTAAAAGATGTGTTTATTAATTGGAATCGGCACTCGCCATGTCACGTGGAATATGTTTATAAATGGTCAGGCACTTGCGGCATGTCGCAGCTTAATTTAAACGGAGACCGTCGGTAGATATGTGAAGGTGGACTGTGGTGAGCTTAGGAGCACTGGATCTGATGCTGCTTCACCCAAATGGACCCAGACCTGTGCAGGCACCAGGGTACCTCGCATGCCTCCATCTGGCATGGTTGGGCACAAAGGACAAATGTATACCTACACATGTTAGAACCCATTGAGATAAACCTGTCTCAGTGACAAGCGTTGCCTGCTGGGGTAAGAAAGAGAGCGCAGCGGTTACAGAAAAACATGAACAACAATACAATTGATTATCTTGCAACTTTTCAGTTTAGCAACTTTATCCATTACACGTTCACACGGGCAACGTGGCTGGGCTGTTGCTGGCTCGGCGAGTGGCAGTTGAGGCCACTACAGTTTTACGTCTTAACACTGCGGTCCCAGGGATATGATCTCGCCCTTGAACCAGTGGTGTGGATCCCGAGTTGATTGAGTCTCTTCAGAGGACAAATGCTTTTGATTTCCAACAAAATGGTACCTGTACTTTTGACCGCCCCAAGGGAAACGATGGGCTGAGTTGACCCCCGGACGGGATTTGAACTGGTAACGTTCCAAATGCAGGGCGAACACACTCGTCGCTTGCACCACCCTGGCGGCTGGCCCGAGTCTCCACTCTCAGCCCGTTTAATATTGAACACAGCACGACGCTGCTGACTGTCGGCAAAGAGGCAGAAGCGTTACGGTCCTGTGGCAGGGCCAGGTCTGTCCGTAATACAGCGACCACTGATGACATCTCTACACCAAATGTTGAGAACTCCCCAGATAGTGCTCGCCTCAGAAAAATAATGATGGTGGTGGTGATAATGGTGATGATGGTGGTGATGGTGATTAAGGGCTAAGGTGGCTTTGGCTGGGATTCGAACCTTGCAATCATGATCCTAGTCCTCTTCCAAATAGACTACGGAGGTTGCAACTCCCAATCTTGTGTGATCCACCAATCCAACGTCCATAAATAAATGTGTGCTCATGGAACACTACCCAGTCAGCATTGATGACTTATCAACAACAACAACAACAGGCAGCGGAAATATTAATCAATGATCAAAGAGGACATGAACCGTCACAGTGGCAAAGTGGCAACCCAAAGGAACGACTACGAAAGAATTAATGAACTGACAATGGCATCACATCAGAGTAACAACAAGTATTTAATAACGCGCGACGTATCAACTTGTATTTAAGCCGGCGAGGGTTTCGCGGACTGGTGGCGTGGGTCTGCAAGCACGGTTCATCGATGCAGACGCAGCGGCGTTGGCCGGCGATGGGAAAAAAAACGCGGTGAACGAGCGTCGTCACCGCCGCCGCCGCCATTGCCGTCACGGCCACCGCGGCGTTGAACCGGCGGTTTTCCCAAAGTGCACGCGGTTTTAAACCACGCGCTGTCGGTATGAATGTACTGTAACTCGCTGACCTCATGCAGATAATCACGTGTTTAATAAGGCAGTACAGTGCTGGAATGAGAGGAAGAAGAAGAAAAAAAAGTTGGGGGAAAAAATCAACCAAACTAAAATTGGAGTAAAAAAATAAAGATGCGGGCTTTTGTCCGTAGGTATTCGCAACCCTAATGCGCACACCGTTACGTCTCGGTGCGTAACTAGTCGGACCCTCACGTTGGACAATTTTTTGTTCTTTTCATTCCAGTGCGTGGCTGTCTGTCACACGCGCGTATCGCTGTACGGGGCATATTCATTGTGCGCTTAAAACGTTTCAAAAGCCAAAAGTGGGGTTTGTTTCATCGCTGAAAGTGAAATCTTGTAGACGTACGTCATGTATTGGCCAAATGGGCCTCCTTCCAGATCAGTGTTACCAGGGGGATTTAGGTGAACTGAGGCAACTCTGCACTGGTTTCAACTTTATTGAACGTCTTTAGCGAGGTCTAGACACTTTAAACTGCGCCACTGTAATGGCAAGGCCAGAGTGGGTCAAAGTAACACATGTCGGCTTATAACCGTGGAATGATATTGCAAATTAACAGACATAACGTATGGGTAATGGTTTATGTTCTCAAAAAATACACGCGACATTACAAGCAATAGATGTAGTTGAATTGATAAAAGACTTGAGTTTTCAAGGGATGTTATATTATACAACAACAACAAAATCTGCTTTCCTGAGTGGCCCAAAATTAGAATTCAAAAGTGTCACCTTCTTTAGCTCCTAGGCATTTTAACAAAACTGCAGAATTTTCATTACAAACTCCACGACTCCTCTTGCAAAGCTGATAAGCTGCATGGTCAGCACAAGCCCAGGGAGTCACCGGAATTCGACTCGGCAACGAGTTAGGAGGCGAGGTCGGGGGGCACAGTGGTACGTGCCCAACACAAAAGAACCCGGTTATCCCGGCGACCCCGTGATGGTGAGTACACCATGCTGTACTCACCATCACGGTGAGTACAGCATGGTGGATAAAACGCATCAAATTGGATGGGACATCATCGACATTGAAGGGGGGCTAAATTAGTTACAATTGCGATCATTATTACCGTACTTATCATTTATGACGATGCCTTTTCAGATGAGACTCAAAATACTGCTTAGATTCGTCATCTCATTCCCAAGAGAATTCTGGGGGTCCGGAAATATGCAGGCACGGTGGCCAACTTGAACTGCGACAGTGTGGAATTCGGTAGACATATCGGCGTTTCCCCTTCTGACTTCACAAATCATCGCGATGATGCGACGTCAGGATCGACCGATCAGCTTTGTAATGCACGGTGTCGTTTGTGTCATCTCATTTGTTCCATCTAAATCCGTTTGTCCTCTGAAATTAGTTTCGTTAGCCTAAATATAATTAGTATATTTGCAGGCGAATACGATAATTGCATGAATCGTATAACTAGTCGATTCTTTCGCGCATGGCTCGATGCATGCACCGCAAGGAGAAATATATATCGATGAATCGCTGCACAACAAAGTAAAGTTGCCATCCTTATCACACGAGAACAAAGAAACGAGTTGCACCCGTGGGTTTAATTCACGTGTCCGCGGTGAGGCGGTTTCCCTCAGTGTGCCAGACAAGTGGGGCTCACCGACAAATGAACAGCCGCCGCCTTCTGCCGTATTGCCAGACGCCGCCTCTGCCGGCCGTGATTGGGCCAAGCACTTTTTATTTTGATGAAACCGCCTTTTATATTTCACGTGGTGACAGTGATTAGACAACAGTGGACATCATAACCCTGAGCCCTACTCGTCACTCGCCTGTAAACACTCATTAATTGGTCTATCACACGTTGATGTATAGAGGATAGCAGAGCTTGGGCAATTGTTGGCAGCGCCGGCTAACCTCATGACTGCTGCTGCTGCTGTTGCCTTCCCCCTTCCCGCTTGTCTGTGGTTCCTCCTCCCCGCACCCCGTGAGTCGTCCCCTGTCTTTCTCTCTCTCCCTGCGGGAGCGAGCGAACAGCGTGCGATGGCAGTACAGCGTTCAAAGTTCGTTAATGTCGTCGCTATTATTGTTGCCCGACATTTGGACGGCACGAACGAGGATGAGGATGCGGTGTGACGGCCGAACGGCGCACGCGGTGCCGCGGATCCATCCGGCGAGCGTTCCTCCTCGTAGCGGCTGTTCGCACGTCTGTGCTGGTGATCCTTCAGGCTCCACGTCGTATCGTTCGTTCCGTTCATTTGAGTTGCGCTTTATTTTGTTCGTTTGCCGGATGAAGGAAAATAGTTGCCCCCCCCCTCTCCTCGAGATGAAGACGCAGAATTTCATCGTCCGTTTTAATCCACACAGGCGCACGACTGCGTATTGCACGTGGTTAGGGGTTGGGGTTGTGCGTATCTTGTATATAAGTCAACGTAACTGTCCTCTGCTGCTGATCTTCGTAACAGGATGATGATGATGATAGCGATGTAGCCAGCCGGACGCTGGTGACCTTGCGTGCCGTGGAGCGGTGTGTCTTAAGTTATTCACGCACATTATTTATTGTCACGCAGTTTGCACGTGTGTGTGTGTGGTGTGCACGTGTGTGTGTGGTGTGTGTGTTGTGTGGTGTGTGTGGTGTGTGTGTGTGGTATGTGTGGTGTGTGTGGTATGTGTGGTGTGTGTGTGGTGTGCACGTGTGTGTGTGTGTGGTGTGCACGTGTGTGTGTGGTGTGCACGTGTGTGTGTGGTGTGCTTGTTGTGCACGTATGTATGTGGTGTGTGTGTGTGGTGTCCACGTGTGTGTGGTGTGCACGTGTGTGTGGTGTGCACGTGTGTGGTGTGCACGTGTGTGTTTGTGTGTGGTGTGCGTGTGTGTGTGTGGTGTGTCCACGTGCGGTGGAGTGAGTGTCACGTCTGCTGTGTTGTTTTGTTGGGAGCGGTTGGATCGGTGGTTCGTGCCCGCGGCGAACCGAGTTCGATTCCAGGCGCATGGCCAATGTCAGTGGCGATTATCCCCACTGGTTCAGGCCCTCCCCTAGGTCGACTTGAGTGGCTGCTGCGGCGTTCTTACCGCTGGGGAGACAAAGACGGCCGAGCCTGGTGCTCGCTAACAACATTTGCGTCAACAACCTGCGCAGGCTATAGGAGGGAACTTTGTCTTGTCGTGTTGTATGTGTGCGCATGCATGTGCGTGTGTGCGCGTGTATGTATGTGCCGATGATTGGTGCCCAGATTGACCTCTGCGGAGGAGGCTCGTGAATGACGCTGCTGCTACTGGGCAGAGCAGCGAGGCTCACAACAACGAGCGGAGCGCCGGGTGGATAAAACGCATCAAATTGGCACTGTGGAGCACGGGTGGTTCATCATCTGCCAGTCATCTCAGTCGATCAACCCATGGCACCTGGGTCTGTCGAATGACCTGTCGGCAAGCCTCCGACACTGCACCTAGCCTGGCACAAGCGCCGTGGTGACACCACCGTCACTTCGTAGTCAATGGCTTGTATGCGTGTGTGTTTTTATATATTTGTGTATTTGTGTGTGTACATATGCTTGTGTACGTATGCTTGTGTGTGCATGGCCATGTATGTGTACTTGCATGTATATATGTAACCATATGTTTGAGTATTTATTTGTGTAGAATATCATGTAAATACACGACTTCATGTGTATTCACGTGCATGTATATATGTACAGTGTGTATATAACGCCGCCACCCACGGTCAACTTGCGAATGTTAAGCCAACGTTGGGATGTAGTTGGAACCGCTGGGTAATCGATGGCCGAATATTCCATCTTTACAGAGCATCAGCACTGCGCGAAGTTTCATGGACACACGCACTTGTAGAGTTCTGTATTGTGTGTGTGTGTGCAGTTGAGGTTGTGTATGATCTGTGTACATGCGTATGTATTAGGGCTGTAACGATAAATTCCCTGGCAATTTGATTAATTGTCGCGATTCAGGGTGATGATTAATGACACTGTTAGCATAGTAAACAGCGTAAGGCAGTCGGGTTGATTGATGCACTGATCCACTCCACAGTCGCCTACTTATCACTCGATTATCGCTACTACCGTGAACTTCAACAAAGGAGATGTCATCTGGTTCAACAAAATAAACTTTGACTTGTTTGATGACCTCCACCCATGTTGAGCACTCGAGCGATGGACAATACCGATCATGTGTCATCCGTAGCGTTTTCAACCACTACACTGCAGGTCACAACAACATACTCACCCACTCACCACACTGCAGGTCACAACAACACACTCACCCACCCACCACCATGCAGGTCACAACAACACACTCACCCACCACTCACCACATTGCAGACCACAACAACACACTCACCCACTCACTCACCACACTGCAGGTCACAACAACACACTCACCCACTCACCACCATGCAGATCACAACAACAACTCACTCACCCACTCACCACACTGCAGGTCACAACAACACACTCACCCACTCACCACACTGCAGGTCACAACAACACACTCACCCACCCACTCACCACCCTGCAAGTCACAACAACACACTCACCCACTCACTCACCACACTGCAGGTCACAACAACACACCCACCCACTCACCACACTGCAGGTCACAACAACACACCCACCCACCCACTCACCACCCTGCAGGTCACAACAACACACTCACCCACTCACCACACTGCAGGTCACAACAACACACTCACCCACTCACCACCCTGCAGGTCACAACAACACACTCACCCACTCACCACACTGCAGGTCACAACAACACACTCACCCACTCACAACACTGCAGGTCACAACAACACCCCCACCCACTCACCACACTGCAGGTCACAACAACACACTCACCCACTCACAACACTGCAGGTCACAACAACACACTCACCCACCCACTCACCACCACACTGCAGGTCACAACAACACACTCACCCACTCACAACACTGCAGGTCACAACAACACACTCACCCACCCACTCACCACCACACTGCAGGTCACAACAACACACTCACCCACTCACCACACTGCAGGTCACAACAACCCACTCATCACACTGCAGGTCACAACAACACTCACTCACCACACTACAGATCACAACAACACACTCACTCACCACATTGCAGGTCACAACAACACACTCACCCAACCACTCACCACACTGCAGGTCACAACAACACACTCACCCACTCACCACACTGCAGGTCACATCAACACACTCACCCACTCACCACACTGCAGGTCACAACAACACTCACTCACCACACTACAGATCACAACAACACACTCACCCACTCACCACACTACAGATCACAACAACACACTCACCAACTCACCACACTGCAGATCACAACAACACTCACTCACCACACTGCAGGTCACAACAACACACTCACCCACTCACCACACTACAGATCACAACAACACACACACCCACTCACCACACTGCAGGTCACAACAACACTCACTCACCACACTACAGATCACAACAACACACTCATTCACCACACTGCAGGTCACAACAACACACTCACTCACCACACTGCAGATCACAACAACACACTCACCCACTCACCCACCCACTCACCACACTACAGATCACAACAACACACCCACTCACCACCCTGCAACACGCCGCACTTCTCGTGTTTCCTGGCACTGCCCCCCAAGCTCTCATAATAAGCTCGCTCGAGTCAAGAAACGCGTTCCACTCGCAGCTTTCACAACGTCGACAGACTGCCTACAACAAATACGGATCTAAAAACGCCTCCATCTGATTATTAAGCCATTCAATGCATACATCGTGAGCTTAGACAATCGAATGAATTGATGCATCAGTGTAGCGTTACCTCTGCAGTATGTCTGGGTATAGGTGTAAATCTGTGTACGTATGGCATTGTGTGACTGTGTGTGTGCGCGTGAATGAGAATGTGCGTCATCCCACGTGAGTAAGTTTGTGTGCCGCGTGCCGAGAATCCGCGGGCGTCGACGGTGATCGCACTGCGCTCCCAACCCAGCGAGCCGGCATCCCCTACGAGTCGTCGATTTGTGCATTGAATGAAGTAGCACCTGGCGTGGTGTTAAGGGGCCGTTCGTAAATGACGTCACGCACCTGGGGGGGGGGGGTGGTCAGGGGCCGTCCATAAATGACATCACGCGATTTTGGACGATTTTTGACCCCCCCCCCCCCTTCGTCACAAAAAGTCAGACCCCCCCCCCTCAAATATGACGTCACAAAGCTCTGTCCCCCCCCCCCCCCCCAAAAATAAATAAAACATCCTTCAAATCGCTTAAAACTATTGTCAATGTAGTGCATATTTAATGTGGCGCTGCACTCTGATGTTGTAGGAGAAAACATTTATTAAAAAGTCTATTTCATTAAGTAGAACGTGTTGTCTATATTTATTTAAAGTTGCACATTTTGATGTGACGTCACATTTCTCACCCCCCCCAATAATCGTCAATCATCACAAATGTCTGACCCCCCCCCTCCCTAGGTGCGTGACGTCATTTATGGACGGACCCCCAGACATTTGTGACGATGTGTGACGTGACATCAAAATGCGCAACTTTAAATAAATATAGAATTGTGATAACAACACTAATTGTTATAACAACACTCCTACAACATCAGAGTACAGCGCCACATTAAATACGCACTACAATGACAATAGTTTAAAGCGATTTGAAGCATATTTTATTTTCAAAATGGAAATATGGTTTTGGGGGGGGGGGGGGGCAGAGCTTTGTGACGTCATATTTGAGGGGGGGGAGTCTGACTTTTTGTGACGCCGTGTGACGGGGTAGGGGGGGGTCAAAAATCGTCCAAAATCGCGTGACGTCATTTATGGACGGCCCCTTAAACATCAGCACGGGGGGAACGAGGCGGCCGGACGTGGTGCTGGCCACCCACCCCCAAGCCACACGCCACAGGTGCTCTCAAACAGCACTTGCCCCAACAGTCTGTAAAAGCCTACACGGGTGATCTTTGTCTTTGCCTACGGGTATGTACAGGGTGTGCATAAAGTGTTTTCCATTCATTATTCAAGAAACAATTTATTATTTGACGAGTTCGAGACAGGTCGATTCAAAAGAAACACTCGGGAGGTGTGGGTATGTGATGCTCTAGCCCCTTTCACGATGACATAGTGGAGGATTTTATAACATCAATTTTTTTAAAGAGCATGTCATTTTGAATAAGCACGGCATGTGACGACTGGTTTCTGTTTTTCTTTACACGTGACATATATATTTATATTTTATTATTACGGTTGCCAGATGAATCCACGGACTAACATTAACGCGCTTTTCGGTTAAAATGAACCAATTATACCGTGAATGTGCTCCCGTTATTTCAGCCGCACAGTGCAAACAGCTGTCTAATTATATATCGGTCATCCATAATGGATGAACAATATTTACGGAGCTGCCTTGGTGTGCTGCATCTAGTCCCATGAGCCCAGATATTTGGCGTGTTGGCACCACCCGAGATTCCAATTTATTTGTGACCAATGACGATAATAACCATTTCAAATTAGAATCAATATGAATTTATAGTGGAGGAATCCGATTACCTATAAAGCTATTTCACGCATCCAGTAGGGGCGAGTCAGAAAGTCACAACAACAATACTAAAAACGATAGCAGCACAAAGTATAGGAAAGATAACCAAATCACTAAAAAATAAATACGTTTTAAATCTATAAAATATATAAGTTCAAATTGCATAAGTACAGTGGGTCATGACGTAATTCACTCACTGGCCATAGAAATCAATCGGGACGGCTCGAGTATTTCTTCCTGAGATGGTACCAATCTCTGTTCTGGCCCATCGACTATTCATCCACTGCACTTCCCGTCCAGAGGTCGCCGGTTCAATTCTATCTCCTGCCACGGAAGTTGAAACAACGGTGCAGGTTTCTTAAATCCCTCTCACCCCTATCTTCCCTTGCAATATATAAATGGCGACACCAGAATCGATCGGCCGGTAGCTTGTGGTGGGGTAAAGTGTGGGTACGTGCACCTCTTCCAACATATCTGGGCAACGTGGAAGAATAGACCAAACACCCCCGCTGTTGGAGGCTCCTTCCACCAGCAATGGTATGAGCAAGCAATTGCAGGCCTGCGCCTTTATGGACACCCCACGTGCGTGTGTGTGTGTGGTTGAAGGTTTTAGCCGTGGCCACAAACACGTGTTTGAGAATCTCCCTCGCATAACTGAGGTGTAAATTGGCAGCCTCAGGCTTGAGTCGTCAGAGCGTTCAGATGTGGTGGCTTCACAGCAGCGGCCAGTGCAGCCTTCATCAGCAGAGGCTTCTGTCAGCGCTCACGCATCTGATGTCCACCGTGGCGTTTCGCTGGGTTTCGATCAGCGTAAAGCATTCAGATCGTAGATTTGAAGCTTTCGTGACTGCAAGGATTCATATTCTTAGGGTTTTTTCGGTAAAGTCACGTAGGTAAAAAAAATTAAAATGAATAAAAGTAAAATAAAAATAAAAATCACGACGTTTCGGAGGCAACACAAGCTTCCGTCTTCAGGTGGAACCGTCACAGCACGATAGCTGTATTGATACAGGCAACACAAGCCTCCGTCTGTATCAATGCAGCTATCATGCTGTGACGGTTCCACTTGAAGACAGAAGCTTGTGTTGCCTCCGAAAGGTCGTGATTTTTATTGAATTTTTATTTTACTTTTATGAATTTTAATTTTTTACCTACGTGACTTTACCGAAAAAACCTAATATGCATTCAGATCGATTTGTGATCCACCGAGTCGCTCCAGTCACCGGCTAACCGGCTTACCGGCGGTCAGTTCTGTTAACGTAGTTCACGACGTTAGGCAGGTCGACTGGTCATCAAGCACCGATTTTACTCCATTTTCCTCCTTAGCACTCTTCTATCGCTCCTTACCATCGTATCTGTTGCCATGAACTTCGCTCGTTTATCCCTCGTGGCATGTTGAGGACTTGGTCAACCAGACTGTTTCATCTCATCCATACTTTGTTCAACCACTACACTGCAGGTCATAACACTCACTCATCACTCACCCACTTACCCCCTTACCCTGTCACCCACTCATTCCCCACACTGCAGGTCACACCACTTCTCTTTCACTGAGCCACCGTAATTCCTGACCATCATCGTGTCTTTTTCCCAAACTCCTATAATAAGAGTAACATTTAACACGTAGGCTTTCGCGACCAATATCAATAATAGAGTAATTTTGGGGTTTGATCGCGTAAATATATGAATGTGTCATTAAAACCCGCCACCACCCGACACAGCCAACTAGTAAGGGTTGTCACGTAAACAGAACGTGCCAATTCGTCACTAGTACAGCACACCGGTGTATTGGAGAGCCAAGCCACAATGTAAATGTTGTAAACTTTCCTTGAAGAGTAACATTACTTAATTCCTGAAAAGTATCGACGCTTTAACTATTACAACTCTGATAGTGCCGTTTGTTGCTGGCTGTTCGACATTTTGGGCCTTTGGTCCTGTGCACAACAGTTGTGTAAAAACAAACCCCCATTAAAATCAAATTTACACGTGTCCGTTTATAACGCTTCCAGATACATTTTCTCCCTTTTACTTGAAATAATTTAATTTTCCTGAGGCCGAAACAAATGTGTTCAACATTTATTTCATTTCTTTTCCTGAAAATATATTTGTACCAGCAAAGCAAACAAAATTGTTATGTGTCTATGTCATTTGTTTTATATCCACACCACTCCATAACAGCAGATCGCTACAGACTCCCACTTGGCTCACGACTGGAATTACCTCAATTAATGACTTCTGTTCCTGTCTCTGGGGTTTACTTTCACGGCATCTCACACCCCTATTCGTCTATTTCTTTGGGGCAAGGCCCATTGAGCCAAGAAGCCTCTTTTAGGTCGGAGCCATGTATGCGACATAAATGTAATTGGCTGCTGATGCCTGTATATGCAGTGTTCTTCATTAATTTTCAAGGTGGGGGGGGCGGGGTACTTTTCCAGATAAGACATCAGTGGGATGGCCGCCACACATTTGAAACCATTGGGGGTTTGACAGCAAGAAGGGGAGTTTTCACATCTGTTGCGTATTGTCGGGGGCTGCATGTCACGGGCCGCAGTAAAGGCCATCGGGGCCCACCGGTGCCCCGCGGGCCTTGCGATTGTAGGGGTGTCAAGGGAAGGATTCCCACCAATAGGAGGGTGAGTGGGAGGGGTGATCGAGGAGATATAAGGGGAGAACGGGCGGGAAGAGGGGGCTTTTGGCGGGAACGAGATTGGGACGGCTGGGGACAGGTGTGGATGGGAGGAAAGGATTAAAAGACGAACCCCCCTGCAATCTTGTGTCGGTTCTCCTTTACACAATGAAGAACGCGGCCGTGCAGTGGATGCGGTGACTGTGCACTGTAGAATAGGAACCCACGAATCGTGAACTGATGACGGCTGCACTGGCTAGGCTACACGACCTGGTTGTGATCAATGTGCTGAGCTACTGATGCCTGTATAGGTAGTGCCTGTACAGAGAGTACGGACCCAAGAACCCTGATGAAGGCTGCACACTGCAGCTGCGTGGGGCGACTGCAACTAAAAACCCGATGGCAATTTCCACTTGGGTTGCACTTATAAGTTTGTTGAACGTGTATACCTGTGCGTGCATGTACGTGTATTTATATGTACATTGTCTGTGTACACGCGGATCCATATGTAAAGCCCGTGCCTTTAAATTCACGTTTAACCAATTCTGCCAATTAAGTCGCTCGGCAAATGTTGGGAGTCGAATCTCACGACCTTCGTCTGACCCCGATACTGCCATCTTGCCTTTACTGTTAAGTCTTAAGGAACAAAAGTGCTCAACTTGGGTTAAATTGACAATTTACCGATTATGTTTGTTTCTGTGCTGAAAATGTGAACACTTAATTATAATGTATACCGCTCTGAGCTGTGCTATGGCCGTGTCTTCTTTTTGTATCCTCACACATACGACTCATGAAGGGGATGGCGGGGGAAGGTTTGCCCGCTTCTTGTCGGCTTTACCATCACACTCCTCCCAAAAATTACCAAAACATATTGCGATCTCACATTTGGAATCAGCCACCCTTCAAGACCACCCAGGCGCCAGAGGTCGCAATCGGGTACCCGATACCCATACCCTACCCTGGTGCGGCCGGGTACGGGTACGGGTAGGCCGTGAGTCACTGGTGAGTAACCGTTTCTCACTCATTTCCCAACGTCTTGTCTCTTCTCACAATTCAAGTTCCTAGAATCAACCCACCCGCGCCTGCAACATGGCTTCATCCCAGAGGTCGCAATCGGGTACCCGATACCCGTACCCTACCCTGGTGTGGCCGGGTACGGGTAGGCCGTGAGTCACTGGTGAGTAACCGTTTGTCACTCATTTCCCAACGTCTTGTCTCTTCTCACAATTCAAGTTCCTAGAATCAACCCACCCGCGCCTGCAACATGGCTTCATCCCAGAGGTCGCAATCGGGTACCCGATACCCGTACCCTACCCTGGTGTGGCCGGGTACGGGTAGGCCGTGAGTCACTGGTGTGTAACCGTTTGTCACTCATTTCCCAACGTCTTGTCTCTTCTCACAATTCAAGTTCCTAGAATCAACCCACCCGCGCCTGCAACATGGCTTCATCCCAGAGGTCGCAATCGGGTACCCGTACCCTACCCGATACCCAGCCAGGTACGGGTAGCCGGGTATCGGGTAGGGTACGGGTACCCGTTTGCGACCCTGGTGTGGCCGGGTACGGGTACGAGTAAGGAATCAAAACCCGTTTGCGACCTCTGCCAGGCGCACACTCGCATCGGGCTCGGTTCATGAATGAAAGTTATAAAAGATGTGTTGCCCACATGTGGCCGGCCGGGCGGTTCAGAGGTCAGAGCGCTGGGCTTGGCACTGCTGGGTGTCATTGGGTTCAATCCGGGTGGCTGCAGTGAGTTGATGGTCACCAATGTCTGCAAAAATAAATGTATATATTGGTTTGGCTGTCTTGTAACGAACCTCAATCTTATAATGTAGGGTGAAGGGATCCCATTGGTAGCTTCGTGATGCACGTTTTCGTTGACCTTTCTCCAGCACGAAGGCTTGCACTGCTCGTGGCAAAATACCGGTAGCACAATCGGGATAAAAATATCTGGACGAAATTTAACAAATTAGATTCGATTTCGGGTGGCCCTAAATCGACATTTTTCTGGGGGGGAAGGGGGGGGTCCAATATTTTCTGTAACTTCATTTGTCCCCACCAAGGTCCTCCACAGGCCATTCTTGTATAAAACAGCGCGGCAACAAATAAAGTCAATAAATCAATCATAGCATTAACTCAACTGCTTCAGATTTCAGCTTTTTACTGCATAACATTGGTGTGTATCTATATCAGTTATTCAATCCCGCAATCATAACAAATATTTGATATGTATGCTGAATTATTTACCTAACAAGCCCTCACTGACTTTTAAAACTTTTCCAAAAGAGTCCTGCATTGGGCATGTGTGGCGAATTCAATGAATGAGCATTTTTATGTAAACTAAAATATTTTTTATTTTACCAGGTAAGGCCCACTGGAGCGACACAGCTCTTTTTCAGAAGCGACCTGGCCAAAAATGATAGCTCAACGAAGTGGCTTATGTGGAATTTTTATAGCAGCCAAATACTCTTAAACGCATGTTCTCAAATGTGGAGGGGGAAACTGGAGGGCCTGGGGGAAAATCCACGCAACCACGGGAAGAACATGCAGCCTCCAAATATATGCACGGGTTTGAAACCACGACCTTTTGCATACCAGGCGAGGTAGTTAATGTATCACCAATTAGGCCGACCACCACCGTTGGGGGTCTTCATGACAACCCAAATTGTAGCTGTGGCTGTATACAAGCAATGTCGCATATTGTTGATTCCTGTCCACTAAGTCCTGCGGAGGTTTACGGCCAGCGAGGAGTCATCGCATGGCTTGTCGATTGTGCAGAATGCTGAATGAATGTAAGAAGCATGAGAAACCAATAGGGAAACAATCTATACATAAGGGAGGCGTAACACTCAAAACTTTGCACAGATAGATTCAATAATATATTGGTGTACTTCTGTATTCTGGCCATTTGGCAACCAAAGCCTACGACACCTCATTCCCAGGCAGCCTGAGAACACGCTTGCCCATATTCTTGGTTCTTTCGGTAAAGTCACGTAGAAGGGCCGAAACGTCGTGAGAATTATTTTATTATGTTTTATTTTTATTATTTTATTATTTCCCTTCTACGTTACTTTACCGAAAGAACCAAGAAGATGAATCCCTGCAGTCACGAAAGCTTTCAATCGAAATTTAAGCTTGACCATGCTTAGCTTTTGAAATCAGACAGGCTCAGCCACATTAAATGTGGTTGAATTATTTATAATGGACACTGTGAATCAGAATATGTATTTATACTGGAGGAATCAGATGAGCTTTCAAGCTATTTTTCACATGTCCAGTCGTGGCAGGCCAGAACGTCACAATACAAAAACAACAACAGAAGTGAAAAGTGTCAGAAATTAATGCAAAGCACAAATACAACTAAACATTTTTTTTTATTTTACCAGTTGAAGGCCACTGAGCAATTAGCTTCATTTTCAGAGGCGACCTGGCCACAAATGATAGCTCAACGAAGTGGCTTATCATTTATAGAAGCAAAATAATCGAAATAATATCAACGCACATTTCGAAATGGGGAGGGGAAAAACTGCAGAACCTGGAGAGAAAAAATCGTCGCGACCACAGGGAGAACATGCAAACTCGAAATACACAGGCGTCAAACCCCCGACCTCCTCCAAAATCAGGCGAGGAAGATGACATCACGCCACCGTGGGGTCCCTAAAACAAACAAATAAGTGCAAATTGCATAAGAATGTAGAGGAGTAGTATGGGACGTGACGTCATGCGCGCCTTCCGGTGCGATGACGTCATGTCTCCTATAGGTACTTCGGGGGGACCCCGTGACGAAAGCGGGGTCACTGGAAGGACCCAGTACAGTTATCTACCCCTGGGGAAGTGTCTACACCCTAAATACATATTTGGCGCAAGGCCTTAACCGAAAACTGCCTCCGTGTCGTCTTTCACGCTACAACAAGTACATAAATTCCCAAGCTTGGCAAAGTCACTAAAAAAACGTCAAAAACTGTCCCAGACCATACCAAGGGGAATTATCAAAGTTACAAATCACATTGGCAAATGTGGCTGTATCCAGCACTAATCTTCTGCTTAGGAATGTTTTTTGAAGGACGATTTATGATGTTAAGGGAGGAAACAAGGTTGTTGTTTCGATTTAAAGCTTTCGTGACTGTGTAGGGATTCATCTTCTTGGTTCTTTCGGTAAAGTCACGTAGAAGGGAAATAATAAAATGATAAAAATAAAACATTGTATTTTATTATGTTTTATTTTTATCATTTTATTATTTCCCTTCTACGTGACTTTACCGAAAGAACCAAGAAGGTTGTTGTTCCAAAAAGATTGGTGCTACAACTGCAAAGGCTTTGTCACCTATTCCAATTCTTGTTCTTGGGACAGTTAAAAGGCAATCGGTTTCTTTGGTAAAGTGAAGTGTAAAGTAGAAGATTTGGAATGCCGAGTCACTTGCAACAGTTTTACACTTTGTAGCAACACACAGGGTGTGGGACCACGGCTGCCCAACACGTGTTTGTCAATGAGAAAAATACTTTAAAGTGACTTTCACGTCTGTCCGCCATCGTTGTCTCTTTAAATCACTGCAGCCAACTGAAAGGGCATTACAGGCAAACCATGACGTCACTGGAGAGGCAACGGTGATGCACCTCAAAGTCTTCTCTTTGGGTTGATAATTCATTCAGGGTTGGATGCTCTAGGGACATTAAAGGAGTTTTCTTGTACAGTACAGGTATCCCTCGATTTACGAATGGGATGGGTTCTTCAAAAAACGCCCATAAAACGAAATGTCGTGAATGGCTTTTCCCATTAATTAAATTTTTAAAAATAGGCATGTGTTTCAGACAGTCATTCTAACTTCACTCCCCACCTAAATATATACACCTATATAGCTTTCACAATACAAAAATAATAAATTACATAAATATTAAAACGATTGGGAACTCGCCAAAAGATCTGCCTATTGGAATGACTGGAACGGTGATGTGGAGTCGTTACTGTTGCACTGTAGAGATGCCACGGTACTGTCGCGGATGGAAAACGTATCCTCCCGGGGCTGTTGGTGTGAAATTTTATAAAAACTGAGAATTTGTATTCTTTGGGTCTTTCGGTAAAGTCACAGATAGGTTCAAATACAAATTAAATAAAAAAACTACGACGTTTCGATCACCACAAGCGATCGTCATCAGGAGGAAAAAAAAGAGGGCAAAAACTGCTCAAGGCAGGCTGTTTTCAAAGGTTTAAAATGGGTGTAGCCCAAAGGTCATAAACGAAGTGGGCGGGGCTAGTGATGTTAATGTGAGAAATTAGCATGTTAATGTGATAAATTAGCATGTTAATGTAAGAGCTCGGCGCGCGAAAGTGGCTATGTTGGTGTGAGTAATTTTACCTGTTAATGTAAAATCGGACAGCCAAAGCCACGGGGAAAATAAATAAAAAAACATCGGAAGGTGGCAGGATGGGAACATCACAGCCAGTTATGACTTAAACTGGTTGATGACGTACTTCCATATTCTTAGGGTTTTTTTTACCTACGTGACTTTACCGAAAAAACCTAAGAATATGAATCCTTGCAGTCACGAAAGCTTCAAATCTAGAATTAAGACGTACTTCTAATTATTGCTGAGTTTGTACCCATCCTCTCGGTTGAAATTGTGCATGTATATATGGATGGCTTCATGAACGAATCTTTGTTGATAGCCAGTGGGCTTACAAAGTACCTTCGTCTTAGATAAATCAATTTTGTGTGAGCCAACCGCATTAAAACAATGATCAGCCACGGTCGACGTGTTGGTCCTACCCTGTTTCAAATATGCTTATGCTCACCAACACGAAACGAGACATGTCGCTTAGTTTCCCCAATGTAACTACTGCTGCAGACACAGCTTAGTTTGTAGACGCCGGGGTATTGCATATCAAGGATCCCATCCTTCACAGATGGGATCAGATCACGAATTTTATGTACTGTGTTAAATCGAACCTGGATCTTGTGTTTGCTCATGATTTTGGAAATATTTTTGGTGACCCCTGCTATGTATGGCAAGGTGATGGTTTTGATTGGGTATCTCGGCCTCGCTGTGCGCTGCGTTGCCCCACTATCCGAGTAGATAACCTCGCATTCAATAAACCTCCAGAGCCAGGGTGAACATCCGTGTTGAAAAACACAGCACAACATACAGCATCTGTTAATACTTAGAAATATCAATACAATGAACACTACAGCATCATAACATTGTCTTAGATAACATGAAACTCAACAATGGATCCTGGATGGACCAGGCACCTACATTAGTACAGAATAGCTATACAAGAGAATAAGCTACTGTGTTAAGTAAGGGCACATCGTGTAATCACCATACTGCAGCCTAAATGTACAGCACTGCACATAACACTGAACTGTGGATGAGATATTTCGTCATCCTTGCTCTCAAAATCGCAATAAGGTTACATGGGTACAAGTCTGACTCGACTTATTCAATTACAAGTAACAACCACAATAAGGCAAGTGGCAGGCTTCGTTGTTAACTAGGCCTCATATTTATCATAATTTAACAGCATTATAAAGGCATTTACAGCATTACAACGGCCATCCTAACATTATAACAGCATTCCCAGTATTATAAGAACATAAACGAACTGACAGACAGTGCTTCTTAAAGTCCCACAATGTACAGTTGCACCTGTCTTCACTGGGACGCTAGTTGTCTCTCCATTTTGTACTCTGTGTAATGGCTGATACCCTGCCGCATGGCTTAGAGAATCTTAAATCGTAACTTCCTGGTCACGTGACCAAACTCAACATCAATACAGGAAATTCCTGTGTACGCACACCCCCACACCTGCCGTGAGGCAGAACATTGGGTCCTTTGGTGAATGTGTTTTAGTTCACTGGCTCGGTGATGATGATCGGAGATACATCGAGTTCTATGGTGTAGAGTTTTGATGAGGGAATTGTTCTGGGATGGATGGTGGTGGGAGTCAGGTTTTAGGTAGACATCCGTATGGGTAGCTTTCCTGTAGACAGTGTCCCATTGAGCCATCTGGTCTCTTTTCAATTAGAACATCCAAAAATGATAGCTTGCCATCCTTTTCCACCTCCATGGTGAATTTGATGGCTGGGTGTATGTAATTAATGTGGTTGAGATATTGGTTCGATTTAATGAATCAAAAAGTATGTATAATTCGTTGTAAATTGAAGGATATCTGGAATTTTAAAGTTGGTTAACACCTGGCATTCTCATTATGGATAAAAGTAAAACCTTCGCTATACAGACCCCAGATCCTTAGCCACTGCCACGCAAAGGACCCTGTGCCCGTCAAGGGGAGAGATTGAAGCATCAAGTGACCTTAACCTTCTACAACGGATATAAATAAAACACATAGTTTTACAATTAAAGTCTCCGCTGAATTTGTTTCAAGCAGTGGACTTAAGACAGGCCAGGTTCCAGGGCAACAGTCGAGGCAAGGTGAAATTAAGTGGCTAGGGTTCGCGAAGAACAACACAATGGAGTGTGTAGTGGTTTACAAGGGTTACGAAGCAATGAGAAACACAAGCTAAAGAGGCACCGTACACTAACTTAACACCATTGTATCACCAGACTAACCACACCAACGCTCCACTAACATCACAAACCACCACCGCAACAATGGCGATGCCCGTCAACATACCAGCTAAACCTGCTACTGCGGGAACACATCAGAAACCCTCCCTTCCTTCAGCTTCTGTATATCCCTCAATAAGGCCGATTCCAGATCCTTCAGGCTTGAGCGCGTTACGAGTTTCTTGTCGAACAGGTTGTACTCGGGCAGGAAGAAGTGAGAGAGGATGCCCCTCCTGGCAGCCATCGCAAAATCTTTGAGGAGATTGATGAAGCACATGAGGCGGTCCTTCAAATTCCAAATGCTATCGTCGGGCCGGTCCGCGCAAGCGTGCAGCCACACCGTCTTGGCGTGGTAGGAGCACAGGTTGTTCCGCATGCTGGGAGTGCACTTTTTGAATGACTCCAACAGCCACTTGAGCAGCTTGAGGCATTCCTTCCTGTAGGCACGCATGGACACGCGCACATAATGCAATGAACCCTTTCCTTTCTGAGATGACTGCAAGTTGCAGGGTGGGTCTCATTCACTACTGAATCTCGGAACATGCAAGTGGTTCAGTGTTATTTTTATTTCGAGAGGCATAACGCCATTCTCTTTTAAGACAGTGTACGACACGACTGCAACCCTTCGATAGCTGGCACCAAACTGTGCTACACGCCCTTCTGCATGGCCTTGGTACCGATAAAGTTATTTTATTTTAGTTTTTATTCCGAACTGGAAGAAGAACTGATGACGTACACGTACGTAGGCACGCATAGGCACGCATAGGCACGCATGGACAGGTACGTCACAGGAACAAGTTTGGATTTAGCATCATCATCAGCAGCAACAGCCATTTTCTATCCACTGCTGGGTGGGTTTCTGGCAACAGCGTATCTTAAAGCCCATTCCTGTGGAGGGAGCTGGTGGGAACGTTGGGTTGCTCGGTCAATGGCCAGGGTCAACGGTGACGTGGTGTATTCCGCAAATATGCCCGACTGTGAGGGTGGGCACAAGCCGGCGTGAGTAGGTTAAACGTTGAGTTTAATAAGAGCACCACTGGGTGACCAGCCCCTCCTAACCCAGCCCCACCCCTCCCACCCAGCCCCTCCCCACCCAGCCCCTCCCCACCCTCCCCACCCAGCCCCTCCCCACCCTCCCTTCCCCACCCAGCCCCACCCTCCCCACCCAGCCCCTCCCTGCACGACGGACACAATAATCCCATGTGGGCTGGTGTAACCAGGAGGTTCCTACCAGTACCATATCATATCCAAACTGGTCACGGCAGATACAATCACCTTTTCCCACAAATGGAAAATAAAAACATCCCACTTTTGCGACTGTGGCGCACCGCGATAAACCATGGAAAACATTGAGAGTCGATTGGTCTCTGCAAGTCTATGGATCACTGTCAACAGCCACGGGTCATTGTGCAAATCTATGAGTCTTTGTGTAAGTCTATGGGGCTCTGTATTATTTTCATGTCCACTGTGAGAGCTCTCTGAGGGCGCAAGTGGAATTCACTCATTTTGCTCTGAAACCAGCAGCTGTATTCACAACTTAGACATCGATTTATAGTTGCCACTAAATTCTTGTCCATATGAAAGCGAGACTGTTGGATGAAGGCCTCCCCATGCCGTCGTCTGTATTTATAGAGCATATACATTTCACAGCCCGCTTCTCAAGCCGATGTATGAAATAGTGGGGGGCTTGTGCACTATGGGGGAAAAAATAGGCACGTGTGTACTCTACGTATCAGGCATGTAGCGATACATGATGGATACCCATTCCATGTCAAGGGTATATACAGATGAAATATTTTAATAATAATAAAACATTCTCACACTCACGATGGACAGATTCCGTCATACTCTGAGAGCCACCTGGCCACGTCGGCTGTGACTTTTTGCTTTAATTGGTGAACAAAAGACGAACGAGTGTGCACAGGTGAATTACCTGCAGCAATGCTCCTGTCCTTTCTCACAGCACGTGTTCTTGTTCCCATGATTCAGCACAATATCTTTCTCCACCTCGGAGAAGGATATTCTCCAGGCTTTGTCCTCGATTACTCCTGCAAAACAAAGGTCCCCCCGTGTAGTCTTTAACAAGCTGTTGGGGCAAGTGCTGTTAGCGGACCACCTTTGGCACGGGGGGATGATGGGTGGCCAGTTACTTAACAGTTATAATGATGATGACAAATTTGAATGATCTCTGATAAAGAAACAGACAGCCAACTGTACCTTCTGCATTGCTGGGAGGCTTCTTTCCCACCAAATAAAAGCTTTTGCTTGTGAATAACTTCGCCATGCGCTTCCGGCCAAGCCAAGAACTTGTATTGATGGTCTTCGCTGCTGGAGGCCAGGTTGAATTCTGCACCTGAGCACAGAAGACAAAAACTAAAATTGCCATGTGGCCTACACAAACATTGTGGGCATGTTCTGTTCAGGTTGGCATGGCTCACAACGGGGTGCTCTTGTAAAAATAAATACCCGGCCACATTTATCTTTCCCATGCTGATATTTAAATACTACACATTTAATGCTGAGTCGATGTAGGAGATGTCCAGAAACACATTCCTGCGGAGGGAGCTGGTAGGAACGTTGGGTTGCTCAGTCAATGGCCAGGGTCAATGGCGGCGTGGTGTATTCCGCAAATATGCCCGACTGTGAGGGCGGGCACAAGCCAGCGTGAGTAGGTTAAACGTTGAGTTTTATAAGGGCACCACGGGGTTACCAGCCCCTCCCCACCCAGCCCCACCCCTTCCACCCCCCACCCAGCCCCACCCCTTCCACCCCCCACCCAGCCCCACCCTCCCCACCCAGCCCCTTCCCACCCAGCCCTTCCCCACCCTCCCCACCCAGCCCCTCCCCACCCTCCCCACCTTCCTCACCCAGCCCCGCCCCACCCTCCCTTCCCCACCCAGCCCCTCCCTCCCCACCTAGCCCCTCCCTGCACGACGTACACGATAATCCCCTGTGGGCTGGTGTAATCAGGAGGTTCCTACCAGAACCAGTTTACTTGTCAGTGATGATAGCTGTCTACCTTGATGGCTGGAACCAAGTCCACACACACATCGTCTTCCTCCTCGATAGGCTTCAGTTGAATAGTCACAGCCGGGCATCCTTTCGACGCAGGCTTTAGTCTCGCATTGTACCCTGCATACACAAACAAGACAAAGATCCCCCATATAGCCTTAACAGACTGTTGGCGCAAGTGCTGTTAGCGAGCACCTATGAAGGCCGGCACGGCAAATGAGAGGATGGGTGGCCAGCACCACTGGTTCAGAAAATTGTCACTGGTGTTAATTTTGGAGCTTTCATGACTGCAGGAATTATTCTTTGGTTCTTTCGGTTAAGTCACGTCTAAAGATAAAATAATAAATTAAATAATAGCATATTACGACGTTTCGATTGCAACACAAGCAATTATCATCAGGCATAAAAGAAATAGCAACAAAAATCAAACTAGAAAACTATAGACAGACATACAAGCAGACAGACATCACAAGGACATACAGAGAGAGAACACATATCGGCACAAAGAGAGAGGTCGTTTCTGTGACGGTGCCTTAAATATAGAGAGGGGGGCGGGGGCGGAGAGAGGGAGGGGGCAGAGAAAAAATTGAGCATATCAATGAGTGGACGGCAACGTGATGCTGCTGCAAGTAAGATGACGACGCGGCACGGCAACGCAAGCTTGAAAATCAGGAGAAAGACACACTAAAATTAAATAACCTAGTAAAATATCTAAATATACTGTATTGCAACACAGAGAGTCGGTCAACACACAATTACGCATAGCCCGGTTGATTACGTATTTAAAAGATTGCTAAGTTACAATTTAAGTGTGAAAATTCCAAAGAGAGGACACAGGCAGAGAGACGTGACTTAACCGAAAGAACCAAAGAATAATTTCTGCAGTCACGAAAGCTCCAAAATTAAGATTGAACCACTTCTACGGGGAAGTTTTAAGCTTATCTCTTTTCTCTCTCTCTGGCTATTTGTTCTCTCTGCCTGTGTCCTCTCTTTGGAATTTTCACACTTAAATTGTAACTTAGCAATCTTTGAAATATGTAATCAACCGGGCTATGCGTAATTGTAATCTTCTACTCATGATCACCACCATCGACTTATCATCTTAAACCTCCATCAACATCATCAGCTCAATGCCATAAACCACCATTACCAAAACTCACCATTATTATAAACCATCATCAACTCACTCCCTGATGCTATGTGTGAAAAACGTCTCTTTTTATGTGGAGGGACAGATATGGGAATGTGATGTATTGGTTGCTAATTTATTTTCTGACTTAAACTAAAATTTTGCACCAAGTCTTATGAACATCCATCACCATCATCGATTCGTCATCATGAATCTCCATCAACATCGCCGCCATCGTCAATCGTATTCTCACCAAGCGTAGGCAGAAGTCCCTTGACGATGTTTTTCAGCACTTTGATGATCTTGGCTGGTGAGATGAAGTTCCCGACAGCAAATTTCTGGAGTGCAGAATTGCGTTTCGGCGTGACGAGGTAGAAGGCTCCACCCAGGCCTGGCACTTCCTCCAGATTCACCCGCTCCAGCAGCACCAGCATCACATCAAACTCATCCGGCTCACTGATCTGTGCGGACAACGATCATCATCATCATCATATGATATGACACTGATAGTGCAACAGCAATAAAATTGAGAAAAATACCAAAAAAGTGTAGCTATATTGTATTCTTTAATTGATTCGTGGAGAAGCCTGTTGGCCTGCAACGCAAATAAGAGACAACTATCATTTTCATACTCAACATCCTGCTCTCGGAGCATCAATAGTAATTTGCTTAATTATGGAATAAGATGCCAAGATAATACGTATTGTGAGTTTTTAGATTCTCTTGGATTTCAGGAATATTCTGGTGAAATAATTCCATAAATAGGAGAAAAATTTAAAAGTTAGCGCAATTTTAAATGAGCTGTCAGTCTTCCGTATTCATTACCGCCACCTCGTCGGTGTCACTATTACATGTTGTCCAAAAATGTTTTACCATTCAATTCAATATTAATTTGTGACATAGAAAATCCCGTTAAGCCAGTTATCTAGTTTATTTTGGTGGCAATGGCCCACAGGCACGAACAATTGAGTTATCGTTGGGGTAGAGAGGAGCTTCGCTAATTTCCAGCCAGGAAACTCATAGCATACATTATTTTTAATAGTGATGTGATAATTACCTTAAGCTTCTCGTAGTAGCTGCCCGTGTTCAGGAGTTTGTCGACTGGAAGTTGACCGTCTTCTTTCACCGCATCCCATATGGTCCTGACAGTGTCATTTATGACCTTGCTCACTATTATCTGCTTGGATTTCTGGATCATCAGGCGATTTAAGACATCCTTAAGAGTCAGTCTCTTTTCTGCTGTGGTATTATCATCAGAATCATCCGTGTCATCGTCGTCGGTAGAATAATTTTCATCATCGTCATGTTCATGCAGAACGAATAAATTAACTCTGCCCCTGCATGCAGCATGAGCAGCACCATCACGTGGGATCTGGCCCCTCCGCCATGTCGAAATCCATCTTCGACGGACCCCTCTCTCACTTGGCTTCCCAGACGGCGGACATTTCCGTGACACCCGTCCAATTGATTTCCTTTGGGGTAAGGCTCCACTGCCATCATCATCATCAGATTCTTCATCTCCATCATTATCGACTGTATATCTACAGCTTGGGCTCCTCTTCACAGCTGCGAGACCTTTGCTGCGTGAGCCACGCAGAGAGTTTGTGCGAATGTTCGTGGTGGACGTCTCCGCCTGAACACCAACACCTTCAACCTTCACTCCTGGTCTCCCCGCCCTGGCTGCTGCTTGTCTGATTGGTCTGACCGGTGATGATGCTCCAACACAATCACCACTTACACCCGGTGCACAGACCTTAGAGGAGCCACTCCGCGCCCTGGCTGCTGCTTGTCTGACCGGTCTGACCGTCTTCCCAGACGGTGGACATTTCCGTGACACCCGTCCAATTGATTTTCTTTGGGGTAAGGCTCCACTGCCATCATCACTATCATCATCACCTTCTTCATCTCCTTCATTATCGACTGTATCTCGACAGCTTGGGCTCCTCTTGCTGCGCGAGCCACGCAGAGAGTTTGGGCGAATGTTCGTGGTGGACGTCTCCGTCTGAACACCAACACCTTCAACCTTCACTCCTGGTCTCCTCGCCCTGGCTGCTGCTTGTCTGATTGGTCTGACCGGTGATGATGCTCCAACACAATCACCACTTACACCCGGTGCACAGACCTTGGAGGAGCCACTCCGATTTCCCCGTGCAGATGCCACGGGCTTCGTGCTGCCTATCGATACTGACTTCTTCACCAAGACTACTTGGGGCGTCTTTTTTAATGCGGCATTTTTTGTAGCAACAACTCCTTTTTCACCCATCGATGCACTGGTGCTAATGGCTCTTCGTGGCGCTCTAGACTTCTTAAAAGTGTCTTCAGATCCGCGAGTGTCATCGAGTGAAACACTCTTTGTTATGGCCGTTCTTGTCCCTCTACATGGCTTACAAGTGTCTCCAGATGCGTGAGTGTTGTTCTCAGACAATGCATCTTCTTTGCCATTGCTTTTCTCATATCGGGGAGACGTCAGATGAGTTCCTCTCTTCCCTGCCACCTTTTGGGAGCCATCTGCACCAAGAGGGCCATCATCTCCACCAAGGCCAGCTGCGTCTGCTACCTTGGATGCACGGCGTTGCGATGGGACCACGGGGGCAGCCACCTTGCTGGGGGTACTCCTGGGGGACCTCGATGGGGTCGTGGTCCCACTTAAAGCTGAATTCTTCCGTGTGTCCTTGGCAGGTGGTAACGGTGCCATTGGCGAAACCACCTCCTCACCCTACTCGCACTGGCACCTGAAATGAAAATATGGCCTTTAGTTACCCATGTGATAATCGTTTGAGTTGACCTCTTGAGATTCATGTCCATTATTTAATCATGCAAGACCGCATTGACATTTATCCTTTTTTAATTGAAATCTCGTATTTAAGAAAAACCGCTACTTATTTCAAATTTTCTTGCTGTGGATTTCACACCTGATGATGATTGCTTGTGTTGCAGTCGAAACGTCGTGAGAATTTGTTGTTGTTTTATATTTGCATTATTTTATTATTTCCCTTCTACGTGACTTTACCGAAAAAACCAAGAATAGGCAACAGCCAATTGAGATTGTGATGGTCTATATTTAAGCAGGCAAGAGTTCATCGTTGGGATTCTCTTATGTTTTTTGGTTAACTAGGTGAGCTCCTGTTGAGATTCATTACCTTGTGACTGATGTGCTTTATTTAACCGCGTGAGAGCCCTTCGAGATAATCTGATGTGATTGATGTCCTTTACTGTATAGCTACACTTGGGACTGGGAAAGAATAACATGTGCCCCTACTGCATTAATGGCTAAGTAAACCTAGTGGTCGTCCAGCACACTTGCCCACACTTTGGGCGGAGTTCATGGTCTATTTCCCGTCACAGGCGTCAGGTTGAGAAGTTGCGCGATGAGGTGTTTGAGTGCATCGCTCAAACTCGTCTCGCTCATATCTATATCGGTGGGTCTGAGCCAGTGGTGGAAATTCCATATTCCTATGATGGGAATAATTCCATCCAAAGCTTCGCTGCATGTTGTTATGGCTACATGCTGATTTAAAATGAGCAAAAAGGTTCGGCTGGCTGAAAATGCTAAATAAATCAAGACACTGAAACATAACCAACCCTCTAATGCAGTAGTTCCTAACCTTTCTGGAGCCTCTAATCACCGACAAGATCACCTAAAAAAATTCGTGGACTACCATGCACCAATAACATATTTTTTAATATATAAATTGTACTCTAAAAGTACGTTCTTGAATTGCAAGCTATGAACTTGCTTTTTATTGACCAATCTAAATAGACTAGCCTTTTGCCCGTCCTAGGACGGAAGCTGTAATATTTAAGAAAAAATTGAGCAGAGTATAATTGTATCTTGTGTCATCAAACACTTCACTGAATTTCACTCTAGCACTGTATTAATGGCAGTGAATCTTGCACGAAAGAATGTCATCAAACACTCCACTGAATGTCACTTCAGTACTGTATTAATGGCAGTGATGCTTGCACAAACTATGTCATAAAACACCTCACTTCAAGTCAAAAGTAGCACTGTATTTAACTGACCTTCAATTAGCCTTTTGCCCGTCCTAGGACGGAAGCTGTAATATTAAAGATGTACATTTACGTCTTCTTGCGATTGTAATTTTTTTAGGAATTGTTGCACGTAAATAAAAGTTTCTTAACTTAAAAAATTAAACCTCGAGATACGATATTTAGTGTGAATCTCTTGTAATGTATTAATGGCAGTGGTTATTGCACAAAACTACGTCATAAAACACCTCACTTCATGTCACTATAGCACTGCATTTAACTCACCTTCAATTAGTTCAAAATCACTGCTCTGATACTTTATTTTCTTCTGCTTTCGCTCGCTCTAAAATCTAAATAGATGTGCAATATGGAAGGAAAATATAGTATCTTTTGAAAATCATTTTGGAACTGTATAGGTTTTTTTGTTTGCATATCAAGCCTACAAGGCACCATGACCTGTGCAGGGAAGCAAGTCCACGTGGAAAGTTTGGATTAACACCATAGGGTCTAGTTAGAGATTGTATTTACACACTTTTATTGAACGTGCCATGTTGTATGTTTTCACTCTTTCAAATCTTTGACGCTTAATATCTTCGGTTATACGAACGAGTTTACATTTTCTACACAGACTCATCGTCTCACGTGAAAATTCAAGATTTAATTAAAAAAAAGACCCGATCCAGGTCCCGCCGATCAACTTTTATTCAGCACATCACAATTCATTCATTTCTGGGGTGAAAATAATTTTCTACTTTAGAGTGCAAATAAAAGTGTGTACATTGAAAATCTTGTTTTTTTAACCTATTTTTCTAATATAAAGAAACTTCGTATGGATCCCATTGAATGTTTTGATAAATTTAGCTGGCTATTTATTTAATGTGCTATACAGTATACAGACTTTCTTGCTAATTTACATACTCTGCATACAGGAATGGAACATTTAAAACATGAAGCCGTTTTCCAGTTCACATTAAACGCCGCTAAAACTTGCGCACACAAGCTTCGTTTGAATTAATTGTATTTATGACACAGATGATGATCCCGTTTAACCAGTTGCCAGACTCAGCAACTAAACATCAATGTTGCATGTGTAACGGTGTTATTGGGCGAATGTACACCGTCTCTGGGGTATAGCTACTATTTACCGATAGGGGACAGTCGACGGGGTGAGCCAGTACCAGGGGAGGATGACCTAAGGCGGAAACAGTCAGCCGGGAAAACGGATCCTCCTGGAACGAGGGGGCTGTGGGGGAATGACGTCACCCTTCCAAAACCTGGTGGAAGGTTCGGGAAGGGGGGCGTGGCTAGGACGGAGCAGGATAAAAGGCCGGACCCGGGAGGGTTCGGGGAGTTGTGTCAAAGAAGAGCCAGTGGAGACTGAAGACCGGCTAGCTAGGACCCTGGGACTCATCTGACCCGCCGTCCTTCTCAAGGCCGGGCACAGCGAGCCAGTGGGCTCCGTCCTTATCAGGGCCGGGTCCGTGTGGCTGGTGGTCGAGACCTGTACCGTGACCAGGGTCAGGTCAGCTAGCCTCCCTTAGGACCCTCTTAGCCGGAGGACCCGGGACCATAGCTAGAAACTAGGGCGAGTTAGCCGAGGGCATATCTCCCCAGCTCGCAGCGGGTGAAGGGGCCGTTACCCCTTCAAGTGTAAAGATTGTATCGTGTTAAGCTACGTCTTGTAATAAAGTAGCGTTGCCTCTACCAAGTGTCTACGCCGTCTTAAGAACCCACTACACATGGAATGAGTGCAGGGTCCTTCATATTTTAAGCCTTAAATGACGTCACGCACCTGGGGGGGGGGGGGGTTCAGACGTTTGTGACGATGTGTGACGAAGGGGGGGTTTGAGAAATGTGACGTCACATGAAAATGCGCAACTTTAAATAAATATAGACACGTTCTACTTTATTAAATTGACTTTTTGATGTTTTCTCCTACATCAGAGTGCAGCGCCACATTAAATACGCACTACAATAGTTTAAAGCGATTTGAAGCATGTTTCATTTTTTTTGGGGGGGGGGGCAGAGCTTTGTGACGTCATATTTGAGGGGGGGGGTCTGACTTTTTGTGGCGCCATGTGACGAGGGGAGGGGGTCAAAAATCGTCCAAAATCGTGTGACGTCATTTATGGACGGCCCCTTATATCGGTGTGCATTGCGCGTTATAACGGGGGCGTTCCACATTGTGCGAAAAGTATTCCCTCATGGAAAAAACGCGTTATTGAACGCACGCTCAGGTGAAAACGCGTTAACCGAGGGCTTACTGTAAACATTAAATAATTCTCGAGCAGGTGGGTGGGGGGCAACGAGTAATTTAACAAGTAAACCGTGCGCGGGGTTCACGTAATAATAAACACATGGCGCGAAAGCTGCTGACAACGGCTGATGATGATGGTGACAGCTTTAATTACATCACAGCATTGCACGATTTGAATTCATTATAATTCAATCGTGCAACATTTATGACAAGATCCAAACTTTACATGAAAAAACATCGCTATTGTACTTAACACAGTGAACGCAGGGAAAAAAACACGTTTGGTGGTGACAGTGTCCGCTATAGTACAATATAAAAAAATACAGAATTGTACTTAAATTACCAGTGGAGAGAGGCCATTGTTCAAGTTCTCTCTCCACGTGTTCAAGGCCTCTCTCCACGTGTCGACGATAGTCGAGTCGACCTCGGGGAGGCCCAGGAACCGTTTCAGATCGATAAGGGGCCGTCCATAAATGACGTCACGCGAATTTGGACGATTTTTGACCCTCCCCTTCGTCACACGGCGTCAAAAAAAGTCAGACCCCCCCTCAAATGACGTCACAAAGCTCTGCCCCCCCCCCAAAACCATATTTCCATTTTGAAAATAAAACATGCTTCAAATCGCTTTAAACTATTGCCATTGTAGTGCGTATTTAATGTGGCGCTGCACTCTGATGTTGTAGGAGAAAACATTTATAAAAAAAGTATATTTAATTAAGTCTAACGTGTTGTCTATATTCATTTAAAGTTGCGCATTTTGATGTGACGTCACATTTCTCAAACCCCCCCCCTCGTCACACATCGTCACAAATGTCTGACCCCCCCCCCCCAGGTGCGTGACGTCATTTATGGACGGCTCCTTACTACCCAGGCACAAACACACAACAATCACTGCACAGACATCAACACGCAGACAAGACGCCACATATCCATCCGTCCCTCCACATAAGAAACTAAAGTTTGTTTTACACATCCGATCAGCCACGCGGTATTCTACGATTGCGTCATTCCAATCGCTTGCTTTATAAACATCAATCACATCTGATTTCGTCATTCATGGTTTCATCATCATCATCGTTCGGAGCCGGGACTGCGTGAAAGCAACACTGGTGGCCAGAACCGGCCCTAGACCTTTGGGGGCCCTAAGCAAAATTTGGTTGGAGGCCCCTTTGATGTATGATTTTTTTCACCCACTAGCTAGCAGTGACTCTAGGGGGCCCTCTGCTGGCCACGGGGCCCTTTGCAATTGCAAGGGTCGCTTAGTGGCTGGGCCGGCTCTGCTGGTGGCCTTCCAGAATCCTGTCCTATTCTTACCGCACCAGCACACCGACACGGTACACACCGAATCGCGGCATGGCTGGCCTGCCCCACCACACACGCCCAGGTGTGACCCTCCTCTCACCTGTGACAGCGAGGTCCTCTCCCCTTTGTTGAACGGAGTCCTCTCCTGGTCCGCACGCCTCTGGGTCAAAGTTCGTCCCTTTTTACTTTTCGCTTCCCGTCACCAGCCCTTCAGTTCCCGTTACACGCAGTCACAGATACTGTAACTCCTTTTGACGGTCTAGACGACTCTAGAGAGAGAGTGGACACATCACGTAGCGCGCTTTCTCTCACCCAACTGAGCCGACGGGGGCGATTGGGAGCGCGCCTGTAACCTGAACCCAGACACACGTGGGTGGGTATGTCGCGGTCTGTGGCCACATTACGCACACCACCTCTGTCACACCCCCCACCTACTCACCCCGCTATTGAGTCGTGTGTGGGTGGGTTTCATAATTGTTGGCTAAATTCCCCATTGGACTTGGAACAACGTTGGGGTTCAGGTTGGGCCCAACCAGTGGTCCTTAACCTGCGGTGCACGCATCTTCTGGGAGTGTGAGATGCCCACCATTCTTGCCCGATGAAGCTGATTGTAATGATCAGCGAAACGTCGTACTACTCAAATTTTCAAATGCTGTTGATTCTCTCTTCAGCACACCGGTGGGCTAAAGAAGTGAATTATTTTGTCCTTTGAAAAACGTGATACATTTTTTACTGTTTGGCCGTGTCGGGTGGTGGAGGGTTACGACACATTTATAAATAACGCGATCTGACCCAAAAACCTATATTATGAATAATATTGGTCGCGAAAGCCTGCTACGTGTTAAAGAGATGCCCTTTGTTGGAGGATGCGAGACGTGGGCAAAATTTTTTTTTGAAGGTAAATCATCAAAACATAAATGAAACACGGGCACGTAAGTACAACTCCTTTGTTTCATTAAAACTATATCATTATTAATGTACTTTTTTACGATTGAGAACCAAAGGGGTGCAAGGCTACAGTAAAGGTTAAAAACCACTTGGCCCAACAATTAGGACCACATGCTAACGTTGGCTCAACGTTGTTTGTTGTTGGAACTTGCTGTAAAAGAGCTTGATGGATCATCGTGTTCCTCCAGTATAAAGATTCTGATTTCACCTGTCCGTCCCACCTGAGGTGGCACACCTTTAGACGTTATAATGTATTGATCTGGCCGATAACTATTGAATTACGTGATAACCATATGAAATGAGTGGGTTATAAAATAATGAACTCTCATTAGCCATGTAAATAAATCGATAATAAAGGTGTTTGTCCCCTTGCATGGTATGAATTTCTAATCTGCCCATAGACGTACCTACCTGTTTGCACTAAGGGTCGTAGTTCGGCTCTTAAATGAGACAATGCAATGGATATATATTTTATTCGATCTGAAACTTTGGTGGTGCTACCTGTCCACTGTACCGTGTACTGCACAAAAGCTTTCTTGCTTGCACGTGATGGCAAAAACCCAGACTGGCGTCACAACGCTGCTTTAAACAATATTTAAAATGTTACCAGGCATGGCCCACTGACCTGCAGAGAACTCTTTTTCAGAAGCGACATGGCCATCACAAATGATAGCTCAACGAAGTGGCTTATCATGTGAAAATGTAAAGCAACCAAATACTCTAAACGCGTGGTGTTGATTCGAAATGTGGAGGGGGAAAACCGGAGGATCCAGAGAAAAATCCACGCGATCACGGGGAGAAAGAGACATGCAAACTCCAAATATACAGGCATCAGGGTCGGGATTGAACCCACCACCTCCTGTATACCATGCGAGGTAGTTAACATCTCTTCGTAGAATAAAATACCTCGAAGAACAATAATTGATTTAGGTCAAATCTCAATGGAATTCCCACTCACTCGTGTGTCTGTAACACAACGGCTTATGAATAAGGGTCGAGATGGGGCGGTGGTGCTATTAAGACGGCGACCCAGAGTTCGATTCGCGGCGACTGGTCAAATCTGTCGTGAGTAGTCATCTGTGAACCGGTCCAGGTACATCCCACACTGACCTTGCCTGACTATTTTAGTCCACCAGACTAAAAAAATGACGACATGAAATCCAGATTATAATTAACTAAACGTTCCAGAGTGTTGTCCACTCAACTAAGAATGACTAACACAGTAAATTATTTTATTACCTGTATCTACGAAAACCAGTTACTCCCAACTTCATAAACTATGTGGCAATTCTTGACTTAAAGCTTTCGTGACTGCAGGAATTCGTATTATTTGGGTCTTTCGGTAAAGTCACGTAGATAGGTTCAAAGAAAATAACAAAAAATTACGACGTTTTCATCGCAACACACGAAACGTATTTTTTTGTTATTTTATTTGAACCCATCTATGTGACTTTACCGAAAGACCCAAAGAATGTGGCAATTAAAGAGTGTTGCTAACATGAAACCGGTAATAAAACACACAAGACAGCCCAGCCCGCACCTCACATTAACCTTTATGGCGTTTGCACCTACGATTAGCACTGTACGGTACGAAAGAACTTCAAAATACATACGTGGTGTCCGACAGATGAAATCATCGGTGTTGGTGTGGGTAAGGCGAAGGTTAGGCCCAAATCATTAATCATTTGCTGAACCACTAGCCCTGACAACTTCCTTGTGCTCACTCAGTGATGCCACTGCAGTGCGTACATGAGTGACACGTGTAATGATAACTGTAATGTTCAACCCTTTGTAAAATGCACTGCTGAATGAAGACCTCCACGTGCCAGGTCGGCCGTAGGGAAATACTGAGGGACAGAAAGAGGAACGTAAGGATTAGGGAACATCCTCATCAACCATGATCATGACAAAGCTGCCACCCTATGTATGTACTGCATTTTGACATTATTTTGCACCGTACGCAGCCAACCGTGATAATCGCAGGTGCGGAGGAAGGACAACAAACTAAACACAAAAAGCAGTTCTAAACAAAAGTTTTCAATTTAGATGTAAAAGTGCAAAGCTCCAGTGGCAGAAACGCATCTGAAAGCGATCAATGCAGTGATCGTCTTTGTTTGATGGCGAGTCAAAAGCCCTTTGCTGCGAGAATGATCGGAGTTCGCGTGATGGTTTAAACTCCGTGACGAGATCAGCAAGGTACTGTGGTTCATTTGTGGCAAGCACTTTGTGTGTACTGAGCGCGACCTTTTATGAGGTCGCATTACGCAACATTGACAAAGATCCACTGTCCCCAAAAGCCTCCAGACTTTTGGGGGGCAGTGCTGTTAGTAAGCGCTTATTAAGGCCGGCACGGCACACGAGGAATTGGGGGGGGGGGGGGGGGCAGCACCATGCCGAGCCGCCTTTATCTCCCCAGTGCTGATGTTTACACACCGCGCCAGCTACTCGTTTAATGCCGAGTCGATCTGGGAGAGGGCCAGGACCGATGTTGGCTGTGAGTTGAAATGGAACTCAGGTCGCTGGGTTTGTCGAGCAGTGCACAAGCATCCCAGCACCTGCACATGAACTGTTTTATAGAGTACATAGCTTAAATAAAAAAAAACATTAAATTTCGATTTAAAGCTTTCGTGACTGCAGGGATTCATCTTCTTGGTTCTTTCGGTAAAGTCACGTAGAAGGGAAATAATAAAATAAGTAAAATAATTTTTTGAAAATAAATCCCACAATTTTTTATGTTTTATTTTTATTATTTTATTATTTCCCTTCTACGTGACTTTACCGAAAGAACCAAGAAAAAAAAACACATTGTTAAGAAAAGTGGACTTGGGTCCACTTCACAAGGGACAAAATAAAAACAAAGAATAAATTCTTGAATTTAGTCTCAGTTATTACTCAAGCCAATTGATCTAAATCGTGGTAGGGCGTATGAATGTTTACATACCTAGTCCAGAATAACTACCTTGTCAATATTGTTTAATTGAAATCCACACGTTATGACTTCAACTGAAAATGACACTGATTGTCGTCGACTAAACTAAGACATTGGTCAATCAATTAGGATTATATTCCAGTATCTGCAGGAACCAGTCACTCCCAAGTTTGTGTTAACTATGAAGCAACTCTTATATGTGGTGATTGGGGTAGTTTCCGATTTTCGAATACATAACAAAAAAGAGTCTAAATACTAAAATGCGGGTGATCGGAAAAATGTCACTTCAGATTGATCCGAAAGTACCTCATGGGAAATTGCCTCTTTTATTTTCATGCCCTGTCACTTGTTGTGTAAAGGGACGTTAAATTACACTTTGTAGAATTATATGAAAATCCAAAAAAGAACGGAAATTATCCATTAAAATCCTAATCCAAAACGTGCAAATCCTAAACTCACCGCCCGTGTGCTCGTGTTTGTGTAGCACGTGTTATTATTGGTAAATACACTCTCGCCAGCATATGCAGCCCAAAGTTTAGGTGCATCACTCCAAGCTTCCTTGTGCACTTGTCATATTTATTCCATTTTCTGATCGATGCAGTGATCGAACGCTTTTTTCTCATGGTTCTGGGCACACCACCTCGTTATGGTGCCAGTCGGGCCTTAACAGGTGCTCGCTAACAGTGCTTGCCTCAACAGAAGATGTCGACTGTCGGGTGGGGGTTCAATTTTGTGTATACACCAAGTATCACCTGACAGCGCACAGATGCGTAATTTATTGTAAAAACACATGTACAGTAGTCAACGTAGGTGATGCATATGATGTTTCCGTGAAATACATGCGGTATAACCTGATACTTGTCATGCCGTGGTTTCGTTTGTCTCCGAGGAATTTCCTGTTTACAGACATGGTGAGGGGGTTGTGTGCCTGGCAAGGAGAGGTGACTGAGGTTCGCAAAGGACCGGTTCTGATATCGCCGGCTAACATCAGTGGCGAGTGATATTCCAACTGGTTTTGGGGTTCCTCCTCCATCACCAACCCCAGCACTGATCAGCGTGAAGTCTGGTCAAACACCCCACGACATCGGCAGGCCGTCATCCAGCAGTGGACTGACATAGGGATGTAATATATTATTAATTGCATCCGAGGGTAATACATTGCCGTGAGTTTTCTGGGAAAACTGAAATATGAATACATATCATTTCGCATAAACTATTGTAATGTCTTACTCCCTAGCGTGGCTAAGAAGGTGCCAAGCAATTTGCAGGATATTCAGAATGCGGCTGATAGGGTGTTAACCAGAACACTTTCACATCATATTACACCCGTGTTAGCCTACCTCCACTGGCTTCCAGTTTCACAAAGAATACAATTTAAAATCCTATTGTTAACTTTCAGTTTAAATTTTCAGTTTCATTTATTTGTATAGCCCTGGGAGCCATTCGGCTCTTGAATCGGGTGCAACCGCAACAAACAAAAA